AGAAAATAAACATTTTAGGCTTCTGTTTCTAATATTGTCATAAGATTAACACAATATTGTGCGCGGCGAGCACAATTCGACCGCGTTTGCTATTTCCGCCACCAGGGCGCGCTCGCCGCGGATCTGCCGTTGCGGTCCCTTTAAGGGCAAATTAAAGGGAAAAAACTGCGACCTTTCGCTTTTTGACGTAATAGGCACATGATCCATAGGCGTCTAACCCATCTTACCGATATTCTTAGGCCAAGGGCTCAAATGGAGCTTTTTGGCAACGGTCCGCGCGCGGCCGCCCCGTCAATGGGGCTGGTTCTCGTTTCGGCTGGGCAGTGCCCGTTACAAGTGGGATCCAAAATGAATACTTCAGCCAGTGCAGGCAGCCAAGAAAATAGCTGACTTAGGAAGGTTTCTCGGCACTCCAACGTTCCGTATGCCTACATTAGGCATTGCGACGCTAAGAAATTTCTTCCGCGAGGACGGCAGGTAATACGGCGTTCTCTCGCCTACCTTGCCTCAGAGATAAGACTGGAAATCCAAGCTTGTCCCAGAGGTATAATAAATATCCTGCCAATTTTATGGCAATATTTTAACATCAAGTCTATGGCATCATCATGATCACAATATCCGCTGAACAAGCTTGGAGCAATATTATTAACATAACGTTGTCACAATATTGAATATCCAAGTTTGTCTCGGAGGTAAAATAATGTCCCACCAACATTGTGGCAATATTGTCAGCATAGGCTTGGAGCAGTCTTACAAACCTAACCTTGGCACAATCTTTGGGCTCAAGCTTGTCCCAGAGGTAAAATAAATGTCCTGCTAACATTGTGGGAACATTAGCAAAATAAGCTTGGCAACTCTATTCAAATGTGAAAAAATGTCATACTAAGCTTGTACCAAGGTCAAATTTCCGATTGGGTCTGCTATCGAAGAATTCGTCGGCACTCAGGTGAAAATGTCGGCCATCGCAGTTTGTTTGCTGCTTGCGTTGACACACATTTCCGCTGGATCAGAGAGTATTGACGAGCTTTTGAAAAAATATCCCACTTGGTCGGTTAGTTGTCTCATTTCATAGTTTTCTTGATTTTCTTGTTATCTCATAGATGTAATGATAAACTTAATGACAGCATCTTTTCACCTTTCCGGCCAAAGTATCACAAGCGCCATGCGAAGTTTAAACATTTCCGCCGCCATATTATTTTTTATTTTACAGTGAAAGTGTTCAACGAAGCTGTCCGAAAATTCCACTGAATTTTCTTTGAGCTGCCAATTTAATTCAGTGAAATTTTCGAACAGATTCAACCAACAATTTCTCGGTAAAAAAATAAAATGGCGGTGGAGATTTTGAAACGTCGCATGGCGCTTGTGATACTTTGGCCGGAAGGTGACGATTCTACGATTGACAATATTGCAATGACTCGTATACAAACTTTTGCTGGAGCGTAAAAAAGTACTGCTCCTCGGAAATATAGCTAAAAAATCACGATGAGTGCATTGAGAAGTTTGATATTCACTCCTGGAATTCCCAATCGTCCTAAGAAATGTGCGTATTTTGAAGCTTTCCGCTTTAAAAAGTATATCGACGGTGAAACTACCAAACCACGTATCTCGTTTACGGTGTTTAAAAATCTACACTCACATTTTATTTTTTTGAAGATGACCAAATCAAAATCATTCCTTGAAATTTTCACAGAATTTTCTCCGCACGAGGAGGAAAAATCACAGAAATTTTCAAGACTGGACGTTAAGTAGTTTTTCATTTAAAAAATAAAGTATGACAGGAAGTCTGCGACGTCGCAAACCGAGATACGTGGTTTGGTAGTTTCACCGTCGATATGTTACAGCTATCACATAATTTGACATAGACAAGTTACCCCAGAGGGCTGAATATTGAGATTGGTAGACAAAACGATGTGCAAAGAGGACGAAAGGAAAGTGGAAAAAGCCTATTGGTTGACACGGGTGATTGTCATATAGACTAAAGGGAAAATGATGGACCATGTTGTAGGGCCTCTTGTGAGTTGTCGTTGGTTACTCGATTACTTACCTCCTTTGTGTATTGTAACCACCCTCTTCTGGATCGCTGAATATTCTCTTTGTCTTCTCGTCTATAGATTTTTCCATCGACTTCAATGATCAGCCCAGTTTCACAACTCCACGAAAAACTGAAAATGGTACCATCGTAAATCACCATCAGTCATTGATAAACATTATGACGTCATATTTTCGACATCTACTTTTTCCTATACGTTCCCAGTTTATTATAAAAGAAGTAACAGCATTTCTGTGGTTTGTTTTTATTTGCACTTTCATCGAAAAAGCGCCACATGCTGACGATCATTTACGATTTCTCGTGGAGTTGTGAAACCCGAATGACTCATGCACCTAATCATATATTTGTGGTGTATACTTTTTGAAGCAGTGTGCTTAAAATGTCATTAGTTCTCTTTTCTTTCTCCTCGAGTAAAATGTTAAAGCTGATGTATCTAAAGGATACATGAGAAATAAGCGTCCATTGAATATATTAAGTCTATATTGTTTATTATTTACGGGTTAATTCTGGAGTTTCCTAGTATTTTTAACGAGTTTTATGTGCGCTCACAGTGCGAGGACATATGTTTCTGTACTTTAACTCTTACCAGGTGTAGCAATTTCTCTGTCTATACCACATTCATTTCGTGAATTTATCTTGATCATCCTCGGAAAAAAAGTGTCAGGGGTCTTCTCCTAAAATCGTGGTACTACCCCGATTTGTCGGATGATATGGGCAATTGGGCATTTCCAATCAACTGTGGTAGTGCCGCAATTCAAGTTGGGGTAGTAACGCAACATTTGGGTTCAATACCTAATTTTTTGGGGTACTACCAGAATTAATTGGAAATGCCGCAAGTTAGGTTTTAACCCCTACCTCTTTTTTTCCATATCGTCATCTTTCGAATCATACTTCAGTTTGAGAACAGGAGAAAAACAAAAGGGGAGAACAGGAAACAAGGCTCAAATATAGCACTGAAAAAACTCGAGACGTTTCGTCTCAAAAATGAGTCATTTTCAGTCGGAAAAAAAATTAAAAATTTAAAAACATCGAAGAAAAAACCTGAGACCTACATGTTGGTGGTCGAGATCCGAGCAAAAAAATAAAAATTTTTTTTAAAAAAACCCCAAAAATTTAAATTTATTTTTCGACTGAAAATGACACAGTTTTGAGTCGGTGCGTCTCGAGTTTTTTAGTGTTGCATTTAAGCCTTGTTTCCCGTTTTTCCCGCTTGTTTTTCTCCTGTTGCCATTGTCTCGGATATGCTTCGTAAGGCCCTGTCCACACGAGCGCAGTTCGCAGAACTTATTCCTCGAACTTCTCAGTTCCCGGAACTTATTCCTTGAAACGAGGCATGCTGTCCACACGAGTTCGCCCGAACTGGAACCGGAACTTCAATAAAACTATATAATTATCGCAAAATAATAGATTATTACGGCCGCCAAAGTAACAAAAATAAATGTCAAGACATGTAAAGGACGTAAAAAACAAAAACAAACAAATTCACATAAAAAGAAACATATATGAAAGCTCGGAGTACGGGGGAAGTTCCGGGTTTTGGAGGAATAAGTTTTTAGCTCAGCTAAAACTTGTTCCGGGAACAAGTTCCTCGGAATAAGTTCCGCGAACCGCGCTCGTGTGGTCAAGGCCTAAAAATGTGTATCTATTTCAGTTTGAAGTGGAGAGTGTTGAGACTTCCATTAAGTACACTTTGCATGAACTCTCATTGAAAGGACAAAACCATGGAGTGACGGAGGAAATCCTGAGAGAAAAAGTAAGACGAAGTTTGGCTCCAGGAGCTACCCACATCGTGAGGAAAATCGGTGACCCGAAATGGGAATCCGATCCGGAAAAATTTCCAAGCTCCTTCGACGCGAGAGAACACTGGAAAGACTGCGCCTCATTGATCAGTTATGTTGAAGACGAAGGCCCGTGTCGCACAGATACTGTAAGTCTGGGTTGAAATTTTCACATATGTATGTAAGCTTTCTGATTTCCAAATTTTAATTTTTTTCAGTGTTTGTTACAGCGATTAGCACGCGGAAAAATGAAACTGCTGATTTAACAGCTTTGTAGTTAAAAACATGTCCAATATTTTTCAATGTAGATTCTACAATAAAAACAAGACGACGGTTCCAACGTTAAGACGTTGGAGAGCGTTCATCGTAGCACCTCTTCAACATGTGAAAGTGGTTTTGCGCGGACGGAAGAGAGCGCTGCAAGACGCTGTTGAACTAAACGTGGAGCGTAACCTAGGAAACATACATATGTACAAGAAATGTCTTGTCATCATAGAGTTAAATATAGGGGTCATTAGTGAAGGGGTACTTTGTACCCACAGATTTTTCTAGAACTAAGACGATAAAAAATTTGAACGATCCTTGAAAGAGTCGTTAAATGAAAGTACGTTGCAGAGTTCTAAAACGTAAAGATCTTAATTTCTCAAAGACAAGCCTACAGGTATTACATAAAGTGGACAAAATAGGGAAAAAAAGGTATAAATGATACCTAAAAAAATTGAGAAACTAGATATTGCTTCCCGCCACGAAAAATGGCGCCGATTCCCATGGAGCAGTGCAGGCCTTTACCAATGGATGCATTAGTAATATACCCGATGCAAAACGACGAGAAAGAGCGTACACTACTAACGTGGTGAACGCTCAAAATGCTACTTTAGCATTCCACTATTGTAAAGTATACATTTGAAACATATCGGACACATATTTTGACAATTTAATTTTCAAATCAGCAATCCATTTTTTCCGTTTACAGGAAAACTAACTATGAAAGTCGACTTGATATAGGAACATCACAACTATGCTGGTAACAGTATCGACGATAAAAGTCTCAAACCTCGTACCTCCTTTGCTGTGTTGTAAAATCTCCGCTTCTATTTTATTTTTTTAAAGGCGATGAAATCAGCATAATCCTTTGAGGTTTTCACATTAAACTTGTGAGCACGACTTGAAAACTTTGATGTTGAAACAACCTTGACCATGGAAGACAGACGCGAAAAGTTTCACGATTACAACAGAATCCTCCAAGTCTTAAGAAACTGAAGGAATATTCCTTTGCAATTGAGTCAAAAACTTGGAATAATACTTCTCTATAAGTTTGTAATGTACGATTTTTGTATTGTTCGAATGCTCAGAACGCTGTAATTGCATCCATCTTGTCGGATCGGTACTGTATTTACACGAATGGTACTTTCAAGGAAAGACTGTCGCAGGAAACGCTGTTGGGTTGTAGCGGATTATGCACTGTTGAACCTTACCAATGGTTGTCTTGGATTTACGCCACGGAAGTTGGCGTTCCTACCGGTGGAGCTCATGGGTCAGGGAAGGTTTGTTTTTTTTTTGTTTTTTTGTTTTTTTTTTCTTTAACTTGCCCTCAAAGGCTAATCCCATTTGTTGTCAAGTGATTCGAATGGAACGAAAGTAAAAAAAATGAACGTCGCAAACTTTTCAATTAAAAATTCTGAGTCTTACATGTAAAGCAACACGGTTCATCAAATTTGAACTCGGAGAAAGAGGGTCATTTTTACTTACTCGCTCCCATAGGGTAGAGGAAGTATTGTCATCATCCACGAAGAAAAAAAGTAAAAAAAGTTTAAATTTCATCATTTCTAGACGTTTTAAGGTCCCTGGAGTCAAAATAACTATACGTGAAAAATAATGTGTGTCCGTCCGTCCAGCGTCCTCTAAATCTGTGCACAGCTATACCTCAGAATATATCTATTTAATTTCAGCAATTTGGACCTGTAAATTCTGGCTTCTCTGAAAAAACACTTATGTGCATAGGGAAACTAAGGGCACATACGTTGTTTTTAAACCGGGCCGGAATTTATAGTTCCTAATTGCAAAATGTAGTCCATATGGTCTCCTTATGCACGTCAAACAATTTTGGGGTACCCTAAAATTTGGGGAGGGGGCTAGGGACCAAAGTTGATTCTTAGCATAATCACAGGAAAAACTCACTTTGACGGACTGTAGATTTTGAAAAAATGCCTTTAATTCTTTGAAATTTGGCACAAAAGCATCACCTGGGTCATTAATTTAAGTTCCTAAAAGATCTTTGGACTAAACTCAAAATTGAAAGGTAACGCGTCATATAGCAAGAGCACTTTGATCATGAGCTCACTGAGAAGGGCTGTAGATTTTGTAAAAAGGTGTTTAATCGTGTGAAAGTTGGCACAAAACACCACCTGGGTCAATAATTTAAGTTCCTGAAAGATCTTTGGACTAATCTCATACTTGAAGAGGGGCCAATAGCAAATGGTCAATTCTCCGATAAATGACTTCGGTTCAATATCTATTCGGCCAGAATTAAATGCTCCGCAACTGATTCTTCTAATGATCTTTCAGAGAACGGTTTCGGATTTTTAATAATTACTTGTCACAAAATAGTGAAAACTAGATTCATTTTAAACTTACTTCCCTTTAACGAAACATTTCTTCTTTTTTTTTATTTTTTTAGGGTTGTGTGCCTTTCACCTATCCTGCTTGTGATCACACCTCTTGGTACAATGAAAAGGGTCTTGGCAAAAAAAGAATGAACCCATGCAAGGGGCAACTAATATTCGATCACGATTGTCCTACGAAATGCACAAACGAAAAATACAAAAAATCTCTCGATAAGGATCGAAAAAAATGTAAGTACTTCTTCACAGAAAGGGAAATAATTGTGGACACTTGGGAGAAAAAAAAGGACATAAAGAACCTCCAAAAAGTAGTTGAATAAGAATCGGCGTTTCCCAGACAAAATAATGTAACTACATTATAAGCATTGCCAAATTCCACTCAAAATTTGACGACCTGCAGCTTACTGGAACGTAATATTTTTCATGAAATGTAAAAATACTTTTACGACAGAGGACCCTTTTACTTTCCAAACAATATGATTCAATACCGTTAAAATCGATCTCTGTAACTCGGCACAGTCCATGTATGGGATTTAGTTGTTTCCTACTATGCACGTTAAGTAATGAACGCATTGATATATGCTCTACAATAATTCAATTTTGTCTTTATTTCTGCCGATCTAGTGACAGCGCACTACAGATTATCAAGGAACGAATTTAGTATTCGCAATGAAATTTTGACCTATGGTCCAGTCATGACAAGTGTAATGATGTATGATGATTTTTTGGAAAAACCAGATGGTAAGTGTGTCCAAAGCTTCATTTCACTATTTTTTATTGAATATTTTTTGAAAGAGGCTAAACCTGAAATTCTATAGCTCAAAGTGTCAAGAAACTTAGTGATCAATTCTGCCGTAGTTCAGAAAAATGTCTGATTAATATTAAACTTTACGATTTTCCCAAATTTAACGCAATAACAATTCTTTTTCTCTTTTTCTCTCTCTCTTTATTTTTGGATTTTAGAAAATTCAGATCGAATAAAAAAACAAAATACTTATATGAAAAATCGGAATGAAAATCACAAGTTACTGGAGCATTGGTTTTTCATCAGAGGCACTTTGGTAACAACCTAAGGCATTCATAACAGAAATGAATGCAGTCTCATAATTATTCTAAGTATGATAAATTCCCACTCAAGAACGTGATGCGTAATTTCCATTACTCATTTCCAAAAATTCAGTTTAATTTTTTTTTTAGTTTTAGTAGTGCATTAAAAATTTATATTGATTTCAATTTGTACTTTTGTTATGAACAGGAATTTTCCAGAACAAGAAGGATAGAAGGTTTCTCATTTTAGACAAGTTCATTAAGATCATCGGCTGGGGTGAGGAAAAAGGAATCAAATATTGGCTCTGCATGAATACTTGGGACTCTTGGGGTGATAAAGTTTTCAAAATACCGCGAGGTGTCGATTATAATCTTATCGAATACCTTCAGACTACAGGTGCTTATGAAGATTTAGACCTGTAGTGCTGTCCAATAGTAAAATGTTTATTTAAGATAACAGGGACGAATTTTGGAGAAAAAAAGATGATCATGATTGTAAACTCACCATATTTTGCACGCAAAATACCTTTAGATTTCTGAATTAATATCTGTTGAAACTTGGTGAAACATGTAATGTCCACAGTAAAAGTTTTCAAAGATTTTGTGCGTCATTATAAACATTATCGGAATCTTATAGTAAAATGAAGAATAACTGTCTTGAGTGTTTTAATTGACTTTCCCTTCCCCTCACACTCACATACGTCAACGTCTGTTCATAACCGTGTTCGAAGTTCCGTGCAATTTATAGAAATTATTCCTCGAAAATGGCTGGAACGTCAAAAGTATTGGAAAAGATGAAGAGAAAAAAAAATCCAAACAAAGGACTATTTGTCAAAAACAGTGAAAAGAAACTGTACAAATCATGCTGAAATTCTTACATTTTTGGCGATTAAGAAGATTAGGAACGTTGTAATACATTTAACCAATCAATGCATTTGTCGATGAATCAACAATAGAGTCCCTTTATACTGAGAGTAGAGACAACTCCCCCTCATGGAGTCACAAACGAGAATGAAGATTAAGTACACAAATTAACAGTTTTTTGTAATCTTTGATCGGCCCATTCTCAAATTCCTTTCTCCGTTCCTTTTCTCATTCCGTTTGTTCCTTGTTGAACCCGTTATTCCCCGGTCCATTCTAGATTATAATCTTTGCAATCGGTGAAAATGCAATCTTTATTCCCGTTTGTGACACTGCGGAGGCCTAAAATACGGGAACCGATCAGAAATGGATTCACATCGTCTTGACTCTCAGTATAAAGGGACTCTAATCAACAATAGCGCGATAAAATACAGCAATAACTTACTTCATCGGAATAGGCAACGCCGCGTCAGAATTAAGTTAAGGTGGAAGAGAAAGCAGAAACAAGGAATAAAGCGCCCTCAGTCAGTATCGCGGATGCAATTATTCGAGCTCTACGGATGTCCGTGTTGCATACGCACGGACTTGAAGGCGTTTTGACTCTCCAGGCACTCACAGCTTCTCCCGCGGCACGAAGCGGACGCGGACAGTACTGCGAGCAGTGGCGTGGCGTGCTTTGCAATAGATCTATCGATACGCCACTCAAACCAATGAAAAAAGATCGATCATTTGGGTGTTCGCAACGAACACCTTAGTAATCGATCCTTTACCATAGCTTCAAATGGCGAGATATCGATAATCGATCATTCACGCCACGCCATTGCTGCAAGAATCTAGAATGACGGACCGCCTTCGATTCTTCGTTTAAACTACAAAGATATCTCTCAGACACGAAGAGTTACTCTACAAATCGTGCTCAGCACATCGAGGTATCAAAACTGAATCACAAAAGATACTCGCACCCTACACCGACAACGCCCGAAGAGCTTTCTGCGCCTGGAAAGAGTGGTTCTATGGTTTTACTGTCGTATTACAGAAAAACGCCGTATGAATATTCGAGTGTTATCAAAGTCAATCGATTCAATGGCAATTTTTGAGCTTAGTTACGCGTATATATCTTTGGAATTTTTAAAAACTTTACATCAAATCGAAACTGAAATTCTCCAACGGGTATGACAAAGAGCAATATTTGCAAGTTTTCAAGAAAGTGTGTTTTTTTTCATCAAGCATTAATTGGTGCAACGTTTGAGTTTTTGAACCTAGGTTTATTTTTAGCATGGCAGAATAACTTTAGTTGTCATAATTTGGAAATTAAGGTCTTGTTCATGAAGCATAAGTTACCAATAGCGTATGATCAGAGATTTGGTGAAATGGATGGGCAATGTCTATCTTCGAAGCAAGAGGTTATCCTAAAGTTAGAGCAATTGGTATTTGTTTCTGTAATTCAGAAACACCTATTAAAAAAAAAAGAAGACTCAATTTTTCTTCTTTCAATTACAGTTTTCTGTAGTAAAACTAGTTACGACCTTCAGGAAGGATATTGCCGAAGCACAATCCTCCGTATGGCTGAAGAGATGACTGTCAACATTCCTTTACCACCAGTGCATTCTTTAGCCACATTCAGATGAGGCTATTTTTGGTACATTTCAGAATTAAGTAAACTTTTCGATGTATTCATAACAGCTATCAGTAGCAATTTAAAGAGGAATTCAAAATCTGTCTTTCTGACTTAAAGTAAGCTTCGCAAGCAGTCACCCTGTCCAATTCCTATGGACCTTGAATCCCCTCCAAATCTGGATCTCATTCTAAGCCATGGACGTGAGTGTCGAAATTGATAGACAAAGGTATGAACACAAGGAAAATAGAGGAATCGCCAGGGTAAAAGCAGTGGTTGGAATAGAACAAATGGGTAATTAAGAGACTGATTGACGGCAACCCACGAAAGACACGATAAGTCCATGCATCATTTCCCTTCTTACTCTATAACAACCAACCTTTTCAAACATTAAGATCGCTCCCTTTCCAGGGTTGTGCGGATGAAATGAAAATTATGAAATCTTGAAAATTTCCGTGAAACATTTCATACAAACCCTTTAGGTGCTGGGCCGTTTCCATGGGGAGGGGGGGGGGTTCAACAGGGTCCCCGGTAAACAACGTGGCAACTACTCGGGACACAAAGAATATAATATTTTCATAAAGATGAGAAACATATCGACGGTGAAACTACCAAACCACGTATCTCGTTTGCGGTGTTTAAAAATCTACGCTTGCATTTTATTTTTTTGAGGTAGACCAAATCAATATCATTCCTTGAAATTTTCACAGAATTTTCTCCGCACGAAGAGGAAAAATCACAGAAATTTTCAAGACTGGACGTTAAGTAGTTTATCATTTAAAAAATAAAGTATGACAGGAAGTCTGCGACGTCGCAAACCGAGATACGTGGTTTGGTAGTTTCACCGTCGATATGGAACATATATTTTCACGGGCTCGGTATGCAACACGTACTAAATAATGCCAAAAAGCAAAAACCAGTCGCCTTTCATTTAATTTTGCATTCACTTTTGAAACATGTTTTTCAATATTTTCCTGAAATTTTATGAAATATTTCACATGGAATTTCAAGATTTTATTTTCATGACAAATTGGAATCCTCTCCATTTCCAATTGTATTCTTTGTCTATAGCTTTGTCTATCAATTTCAGCAATCGGCCCGCTGAACTGTCGTCTATGCCACATTATGTTTTGTTTGTTGATGGGACCCTGAATTAGTTGAAAAAACCCACGCGACAACGGACTGAATTTTCGCGACGCGTCCACGCGGTCACTCTTGGTTTATCTTTAATGGACGTATTTCTGCCAAACGGAGCTATGTGCATTATGACGTGAGCCATGTTATACATATATTCTTACGGGTCTCAGGGCTCGTGTCTTAATGCACATAGTTCGGTTTAGCAGAAATACGTCTAAATGTCCAAGCTGGGTCAAAGTGACTCGATTCTTCCTAAAAACATGTAATGCCCACATGTTTCATTCGGCAAGTATACACGAAATTTAGATATAGGTCCCCCTACAATCAACAGAAATACATACCCACTTACATGCGATGAACCCAATATTACTACCAAAATTCTGAAATTCTTTACCTCTCTTAATTTAGAAATCTAAATTTTCGTATGTACTCCCATTTTCAAAATTCTCTGTGAATACGTTAATCGCCTGTGACGCTGAATGTATCAAAATATACTAACTAACTAACTAACTAACTAACTAACTAACTAACTACAAATACATTGTATACAGAAAATAAAACCTCATATTGAAAAAAGAGAGAAAATGATCGAGTGTGAACACAGCCGAGGATAGGAGAGACTTATTCGGGCCTCGTTCTTTAACTTGTCACGCCGTCGCGCCTTCAATTTTGCAGACGCAATACGGACATCAATCAGGCACGAATAGTTGTATCTCTGCGCCGTCATCAACGCTGCCCTTTCCCTTGCTATGTTATCATGGTGTGTTGGCTCCATTTGTCTTAATTTTAGTGGTGCTAGTAGAGACACGTGAGCAATACAACACGTTGAATTTAATTGTGCTTGACTTCACAGATACGCACAGATAAAAATGGATTGCTGATTTAACAATTTTTTATAGTTTAAAAAAAAGTCCGTCGTGTTTCAAATGTACAATTTACCATAGTGGAAATCAATTTTAACCGCGGGGGTAGTTAAATTAGCATTTTTTTTTTATTGTAAAATCTACATTTAATCATGTTGGACACTTTTTTTAACTGCAAAATTGTTAAATCAGCAATTTCATTTTTTTCCGTGAGAGACGTTTGGGCGTTATGTTCAAATAAAACACTTAATACAAATTATTTAAATCAAAAGAAGTCATGTACCCACGATATGCCTGTCTCCTAGTTTCATTTGATGTAATTCGTTTACAAACAGTTTCTTCCAGCATATAAGTAAATTTATTTAGTCATCATTTCAACATTAAATATTACAGGTAGTTTTATATTTTGATAACGTTTAGCAAACAACACATATTGAATCATTTCAGGAAGATCTTTCATCCAGCTAATAATTTGAGTTATTTTAAGAGTTGTCGACGTTAAAAGGAACTCTGTGAAAATTAATTAAATTAAAAAGAGGTTTATCGACAGGATCTGCGTGCCACATAATGCCTTTTGAGTTGAATCATTTGCAAATTGTTCTTTTTCCCGTAAACATGTCCGTTTAGTCGCATGCAAATGTACGTCGGAATAGTGCTATAAAATAAGCCCTGCATAATGAAAGACTAACACTGAAATAACCTTAACGGTGGTTGTAAGCAGATAGACGTTTCCTAACTATCAATATTTCAGATTTGATCATATTGCTTAACTATGTTCAACTGGAAATTGCATTCAGCAAATGGGTGATTCTTATGGAGATTTTAAAAATACCCAAGTACGAGTAACTACGGATTTTAATGGAGCCGATTTTTTTTCCAGTGCCGCCTATTTCAGTCGGTTTTTCTAAGTTCCGGTCCCAATATCGTATGCATAATTAGTTCACACATGTTAGCATTGTTACGACTAATGCACGAGGGTATTTTTTCAAAACTTTTAATGTATATATGATTGGTTTGTTTATTGCTATCCAATAGGTGACTAAACCTTTTATTCTTCATTTAATGTTCCGGAAGTACCAGGTAAGTAGATTACGTGGTAATTTACTGCATATTTGTGAACCCAAAATCCCGGACAAGCGCGTTTTTGAAAAGTCCAAAGACTCGAAGGAATTGTCCGCTCCGGAAAGGCCGAAAAATGATGAGAGTGATGTCTTGCGGCATGTAGTCAAATCGCTATCTCCTCTCATTGTTCACTAATGTTCATTGAAATAAAACGTATTTCAATGTGGAATTAAGCTCGTTAAATACAACAAACATGAATAAGGTTGAATTTTTTGGCTCTGAATACACATTTGACTTTCTCATTGACATCACAAACAAGGAGTAGAAAAACATTTAACGGAAGTCGTAAAAACCCATGCTTGCCTTTGATTGGTGCAGTATGACATCATTCGGATCATCGAAACCAGGACGTTTTTAAAAAGCAGAAATAATTCACTTTTTGGACTGCGTATTTCTTAGTTTCTGAGTTCCTTTTTCATATTTTTAATGTGCGCATCGTGTTTCAGGAGTCCTTTACCCTCCGGTAGTTACAAATTGTTAAAGCTAATTAAGCTTCAACCAGATACGTCCCCGTGGGAACAGAGTTCTATATACTTACGCATTGTAAAAATTTAAGCCTGTGTGAATAAAGTCATACCCACAGTAGTATTACTATGAATATAATTATTAATATGAAGTTGATTAGTAATTCAATAGTTCTGATTGTTGCTAAATGTAAGAAACAAGTCATTATTTGTTCATGATTTAATGACCCATTATCGGATGTGTCATCGGCAGACCAACGTATTCTTCAGCAGTCCACTTTTGAGTGCTTTCTTAAGTTTTTTCAATTTTATTTTTAGGGCATTTCTGATAACGAAAAACCAGTCATTGCTATCACCAAATCTTGTGTTGATTCAGCGTGGGAGTGAAGAGTGTTTTCACTTTTCTATTGTTCCTGGAACTAAGACTCATATCGGGCGTCGCTACTGGCTGTCTTAATACCTCTGCCTCACTTCACATGTACATGCTCGCACTTATTATTTTCCTCTCAACTAAATATGGAAGTACTTAAGATACGCACCAAGCTTCCGGGAGATATAAGCACAATTTACTTAAATGATTGATATTTATTCGAATGATTAAAAGCGTCTGCAGTTGCAGCAAGAGCGGCAAATATTGTTAAAATGAACTAATACTGTAACTGTGTGGGTCGTAGATAACACGGTTATTGCATTGGCTGATTGGAGGTGGTAAGTGATTGTATTTTGGAAAGTTTATATTTTTATTTTAAGTTTCTATTTCTTGTATTCCTTTCCATTCGCAGGTGTATAGTGTATGAAAAAACTAGGGGGTGGCATGCCCCCTGGCCGCCACGCGGCCAAACTCCCAAGGGGCGCTTCGCGCCCTCCAGGGCCCGTTTCAGAAGCCTTTCTTGCTCGCAAGATTCTCGGGTGTCCACTCTAAAATCGAATTACATGTATCGGGGAGCGTGGGAACAAATCAAAATTCAACATCTTTAGTTCGGTCCATTTTACACCAAATTTGAAATTCATCAGCGGCAAATTCAAATGTTGCTTATTGCCCCTAACTTTTGATAAGCTTATCAGTCAACCCTAATATGAAAACCTTGGGTCGTATTTCCAAAATCTGAATAGAGCGGGCTCATCTAGAGACTTTCACCAGTCAATAGACGGAAAATCATGGAAATTGGTCCAGTGGATCGCTGTGGAACTGTGACAAAAAATAAAAATTTACATTATTGTGTAAATGGCAGAATCCACAACTTTGACACGTGATATACAAACATCTGGGTTATATTTCTAAAATATTAATATAGCGGGCTCGATTGGAAACAATTCCCCGTCGGAAGCAGCAAAAATCATGAAAATCGGCTAGGTAGAACTCTAGAACTAATAGCGTTACCAGAAATGAAAATATAGGAGTCTTGAGAGCTTATAGTAAAGATAAAAGAATCAATATATTTTCAGAAGTCGTAAAACTTCAAGAATGCGAAATACATTATTGGAAATCTTCGAAGGGAATTTGGGATGCAAATCATTCCAAAGTCAATTTCACGCTAGGGACCGAATATCTCAAGGGTATGCGTCTCTCCAGTGCTTTTCTTCTTAAAATATTAATCTTCCTATCTTTTCCAGAGATCCATCGTGGCTGACGCAAAAATGTTGACTGTTATTGTTTTTCTATCCCTTGCATTGGTCCACCAATCCTTAGGCTCAGAGAATATTGACGAGCTTTTGAGGAAACATCCCACCTGGTCGGTAAGTGGGGCGAGTTTTTCATAACTTATTTTTCAATGCCGAACAAATATTATGATTTCGTCATAACAATATCAATATTAAAAAGGGTACGCAGTTCCACAAATCAACCTCCTTGTAAGTAAAATATTTATGATGGTGAGATGGTGCTCATTTTTGCTCACTTTAATAATTTTTTTCTGATAAAGGAAATAGTATAAAAATAGATTTAAAAGTGAGAAAATGCACCGCCTAATGACGTCATATGGTAGCATTTCCCATTTGAACACATGTATTTCAGCAAATTAGATCATTTTGTCATATGTTCTTCAATAGTTAATCAATAAATGAACCAAGGGTATTCTCGTTTTCAGTTTACTCAGTAGTTTCCACTTAAACACGAAATTCATCAAATTTCAGACACCTGCAAATTCTCTACATTCACATTGTCTTTACTCTCAGTATGAAGGGACTCTAATTCTCTTGTGAATCAAATTTCAGTTCAAGGTAGAGAGCGTCGAGACTGCTATCAAGAACGCTCTGCAAAAAAACTCCTTGACAGGCCACAACTTGGAATTGACGGAAGAAGTCCTGAGGGAAAAATTGAGGAGGAATTTGCCTGCCGGAGCCACGCACATCGTGAGAAAAGTCGGTGATCCAAAATGGGAGTCCGATCCATCGAAAGTTCCTGGTACCTTCGATGCGAGAGAAAAATGGAAGCATTGTGCTTCCCTGATTGGCCAAGTTGAAGACGAGGGTCCGTGTCGCGCAGACGGGGTAAGTCTCAGTTTCAGAGTAAACGAAAATGAAGTTGTTATAGAACATTTTTCTTACCGATTTTTCAAATTGTTAATGCTTTTAGTCTGCGGCCAATGAAACAACGTCGCAGACTTCCTGTCATACTTTATTTTTTAAACGGAAAACTACTCAATGGCAATTCTTTAAAACTGCCGTGATTTTCTCTCTCTGTGCGAGGGAAATTCTGCAAAAACTTCAAGAAATGATGTCAATTTGTTCTCCTCTAAATAAATAACATAGAGGCGGAGATTTTCAGACACCGCAAACGAGATATGTGATTGCGGACTCACGCGTCGATATGTACCCTTTAATTGTAGACCATAAAAAGAAAGGACGCGAGGTCCTGGTTTTGCGGCGATTTTAGCTTCGCGCAAGCCAGAGAAGAAAGCGCGGTCGAGTCGCGAGTCATCTTCACAGTGAGATGCGCCTTTAATCTAGCTAGCTGCAACATGCCTTTACCCGTAGTCGAATAGTTATCGCAAACGGTTTTCGCATTGCGTTTGGCGCAATGCGAGAAGTATTCATTCAGGCTTGTAGGCGCTAATATACGTCAGGGCGACTGCACTGTTTGGCGCAATGCGAGAAGTATTCCTGCAGTCTTGCAGGCGCTGATATGAGTTTGATGCCAGCCGCACCGCGCGTACTTGCCGCGTTTATTCGAACTCGTATTAGGATAATCACGGCATCGAACATTGGGCCTTAAAAGCCCATGTTGTGTTTTGACGCCGTATGAGCATTCCAACGTAGCCTCGTTTCTCCCGATAAATTAATTTTTTCGAGAAAAGTTTGGATAGTTCTCAATGTTCGCTTTTTCAAATTGAACGGACCACCAGATATATTGTGATTCGGTGAAAACTTCAAGCCATGGTGATGGTTTGATCCCTTTCAAAAAATAAAGTAGCAGCGGAAATTTTGACTCACCGCACCGAGATATGCATTCTTGCAGTTTAGCCGTCGATATGAAGTTTTTGAAGCAATGTCTAAAAGGTCTTCCCGTTCAACAAGGCATCAGTTCAGCTAAATTTTAAGAGGGAAGGAGCTCCCAAAAAATATCCAAAATTGTACCCACGTTAAATCATAAATGGTCAAATGTTTAATCAATATGAACGAGGTTGTAAGGACTTATCAAGATAACCTAAAACTTAATTTCCGTTATGGTATAATTTTAGCGTTCTCATTTCGGTAGAAGTTAAAAATGATTTTATGAGGACAATAATTCAATATTGTGCATTTTAAAAATTTTTGAAGTCACATTTTTATTTTTTTCTTTCATTCTGCTTTGTTTTCACAGCCATCTATCGTTTCTTCCGTGATGTCTGATAGGTACTGTATATTCACAAATGGTACTTTTAAAGAGAAGCTGTCTCATGAGATGCTTATGGGCTGTGGAGAGCTTTGCACTGCTGGGTCTGCGCAATATCAGTCTTGGCGATATGGAACGGACTTTGGAATCCCCACTGGCGGTCCTCATGGATCACAAAAGGTTTGTTCCTTGACTGTTCTAGAATACACTTGCAAAACATATTATAATGAGTCACTGAAATTTATACAAACATTTCAAATCTAATCTCAAAATTTAAAAAAAGGCAAATTTCTTGCTTGTCCTGAAATTGTCAGTTTGCAGTTAGGCAGTCTTGTTCCTCAGCCATCGATTTGTTATCATAACATTTAAAAGAAAAATTGAGAACAACAATAGGCATTTTTCCAAGTAAAAATATTTATAAAGGATGGATAACAAGAATTTTTCGTAATATGCTACAAATTAAAATTTGAGTTGATTCAAATTCTTTTGTACGCGCCAACTTCAAAACCAATTCTTTGCGTTCACGTCGAAGGCGAAGCGTGAATGATCGATTAATCGATATTTCCCGATTTGAAGCTACGGTAAAGAATCGATTATTAAGGTGTTCGTTGCGAACACCGTGTTTATCGATCCTTTTCCATAGGTCTGTATGGCAGAGCAATCGATGTATCGCAAAGCACGCCACGCCACGCCTCTGGTTCACGTCCACGTCTTAAAATTACAAGATTTTGCGATTCACCCGTCTAATCATCAGTGCAACGCTTTGATCTGGTAGTGGGAGAAATGATGTTGCTTTCAAAACGTCGAACCAAATCTAAAAGACTTGTTAGACAAGTAGATGTGCACTGGTGATGGCCATCGACTGTTTGGGAAATAATACAGCCAAAGACATTGAATCAAGTAGACCGTGCGTTCGGCTCGGTTTAGTACTGGTGGAGCGAGGCAAGTCTCTCGGAGCCCCATGATGGGCGGGCAGGGAAGGGGAGAGAGCGTGTGTCCCAAGCACTCGATGAGACTAGAGAGAGGCAATGGAGAATTCATGCCCGCGCTCGGTTTTTCACGAATATCTCGTTTAGAGTCCATTTTCAGACAAAATTCCTGAGAAAAAAGTTATAGAACACATAATTTTACACCCGATTAGCATTGTTTCATTTTTCCGAACTAATTATTAACCGAGGAAAAAAGCCTCAAAATCCGACAAAAATTCACTGGAGCCGCCAGGAGCCGCTACTGCGCATGCGCAGATGTGCGCAACTGGGACACACGAACTCATCGATACGGGTCGGTGCCACCACTCATCACTTACGAATTTTTAAAAGTTGCCTCGCCTTCCGTAACACAGGATGCACGGTCTACGTGATTCAATGTCTTTGGATACAGCACAGTCGTTCGTCAAGGTTAAAATTTGTGGGTTACGATGAAAACTAGGAATGATCAAAAGGGGGACTTTTTAGAAAGCCAAAAAGTATGCTGTAAACTGCCCTAATGTAAATATCCTCCAAAATTTTGGAGATTTCGTTGGACTCTCATTCTAGGCATATCAATAGCTAAAGTTAAAACAACGTCCTTTATTCATTACATCATTTAAGACTTATTGGTTGTGTTTATTGTTGTTGTTGGAGGAGGAGATCAGAAGGTGCCAATTGCCTGATGATCTCTGGAAGGATAGGGGGCAATGGCGATTGGGCGTCACAGAGCGAGAGGCGGCGCTATAAAAGCGGTTTTATGTATGTTATTGTTGTTGTTTTGTTGAAGAGAACTGATTTAAATATCGGCTCAAAATAGTTTGTGAATGGTTTTTAATAGGCTGAGGGAATTTTTAGGATACATATTGAAACAAAAATTAATAATTGATTTTCTTTTGAAAAATAAACACGAGCGTGACGTGCAACGTCACAATCGGAAAAACATATTTTGTTGCGTAAATACATATTCACTTATTCTATGAATACCTCTCATAAACAATGTTGAGCTTTCGCTTTATTCTATCCTCTTGTAACATGTTTTCTTTTTAGGGTTGCGTGCCTTATACCTACCCTGCATGTGATCATACCACTTATTATGATGACTACCCTGGCAGAAAGAATAAAATAAACGAATGCAAAGGACAAATGGTCTTCGACCACGACTGTCCTAAGAAATGTACAAACGAGAAATACAAAAAACCTCTCGACAAAGATCGGGTAAAATGTGAGTAAACATCAAGTTAAGGTTAAGAAAGTAGAGAGATAATTGAACTTCATTTTTCAGTGAGGAACTATTATTTTTGGCTTATTCATCAAAGCAACTATCGTATCCACATAGGAAATTAATGACACTAATTGTGTGTCTAAAATGAAGCAGCAATAGTAGTGTTGTTGTAAAATTGCATCTGTCCGAACAATTCTAACCCAAAAGGATGCTATTCACATTAGCCATTGCAAAATTTAATCAAACAACTCATGTTTTTTACGGGAGAACGATTGTACGTACTTTTTTTTAAGGAAAATTACAAAAAAAATTGGCATTACTTCACAGAGGAAATTCCATGAAATTAAAAGGATTTACATTACTGTTCCTCCGAATAAATAAAATGTCTGATAAAATTTGGCAATGTCTAATGTGACTTGGTCCCTTCTGCTTAGTGCGGTCAATTTTCTAGGTTTCCCCAAGAGTTTTTCAAAGAGGCAATTTTTTTTTGTGATTTTAGCACATGTTATGGTACTTTGTGCCTTGCAGGACTCCAGATTTTCCATGCCCTTTGCCAACTGAAAAATTGCATTCTCTAAGACGTAGCCAAGTAAATACTTTATAGACTGCACTTGACTCGAAATGTTTTCCTATTTGAAGCTAACTGAAAGAATCGATTACTGAGGTGTGCACTTTTTGAAAAGATCATTTTCTGCGAGTTTAAATGACATTTCAATCGATTTATCGCAAAGTAGGTACGCCACAATACTGATCTTTGATAAGCATTGCTAACATAGAGATTCGTAAATCAAGGTCACTCTGGATAACGATTCTACGACTGACTGACCCACAAGAAAATTTGCGTTTGTGAACCAAGGTGCCTTTTCCCGTATGGTCATGATCATGAGCCGTGAGGCCTGAGACTCTTCTGCTCTGAGGCGCATTCGCGTTCATAAGAGCATACAATGTAAATATCAAAGTAAAATAAAGAATATTATTTATACAAAAAAATATTAAAATAATATAATATAATTTTATATTATAATACAAATGTTTATTAATAAAATCATGTAATTATTATTTTAACTGTTGCAAATCTAGTGTCAACATATTACTACACGTCTGATCACGAATTTGCTATCCGAAGTGAAGTATACGCGTATGGTCCTGTCGTAACAAATGTATTATTATACGATGACTTTTTGGAAAAGCCGAATGGTAAGTACCTCTCCAGCACTGGTTTACGGTAAGATGTTTGAGGCTGAACTGGATAATCTTTAATATGTACTCTGCATAAACAAATCGGATCTTGTATACTTGTGATAGTCTTTGATTGGATGAAATTCAGTAAATAATAAAGTACTCTCAAGTAACTTTTCATATAAAATATATGCGCAGTGGCTTAAGACACTTAGCATCTATAAGATAGAATTATCAGAAATTGTTGGACGAGAATAATAAATGAGAGAGGAAAGAGAGGAAGAAGGAGAGGAACATGGAGAGGAAGAAAATAAGTAAGAAAAAGAGGAGGGACAGGACGAAGGAGAGGTAGAAAGACAAAGAAAATCCAATTCTTCTCTTTTCTTTCGCTTATTCTTCATTCTCCTTTCACCCCGACCTCCTCTTCTTGTTTCTCCTCTTTATCATATTCCTCTCTTCTTTGTCTTCGCCCTATCTTTAGTATGCATCCTAATCTAGAATGTTGTGAGATCCACGATATCAGTCTGTCAGACTGGAGTCACACAAGTTGACACTACACCTGCAGGGGAAATAAAGTAAGAAACAAAGTAACCAACCAATCTTACATATATTTAACCGAAATGTTCATTTAAAATATTGGGGATTTGAATTTTGAGGGCGATCCCTGCCTTCTCCTCCTTTGGAGTTCAGTCCTCCTACGTAAAAGAGAACCTACTCATGGCCGGCTCCTTACCGGGAGGCTCGTCTTCCCTTTGAACCGGAATTTTCAGGAGGGAGGCCTAGTGCAATATGGAAATATGTCGATTCTTGGAGGGGCCACATAGGTGCCCCAACAAGAATCGATTATTGAACATAAGTTTAAATGGTGGGAATCCGGTGTTTGCCAAATTTCTGGATTGCCTCTGATTGCTCTTTTGAATGATCATCATATTCAGGATAGAGTACCTTTATAGGGAGAGTATGGACCACTCGATTTATGTAGCTCTTCGGGCCCAAAAAGGCGACAACGTGAAAAACGAGAATCACTAGAAAAGTGCCGCTGCCAACATATGCATTTGAAAGAATGATCATTAGGACCGACGACAGCGCATTGTGAAAAAGCGTTTTTAAGGATTAAGACTTCGAAACTGAGAAAATTAATGCAAAATCAAAGTTGTATACGTGCTTTTATAATTGTTGATCAGTGTACCTACTCTCAGAGTTTGAATAGTGCCACTGGATAATACGAGTTCATAGGTTGGTTGCCTTTTTGGGTCCCAAGAGCTTCATGACCTAATCAAACCTAGCCTACAAAGTTTCGAGTTGTCTATACTCTCCCTGTGAAGGTACGCTATTTCAGGATTTGTGAGCATTACACATAAATATAAAGAACACCCTAAAATTGACCGGAACGCAAAAACGAATTTGAAATTGAATTTCTTTGATTTTGAATTTATTGATTGAAATTAATCACGTTTTACTGTGGGAATTTTGCAGGAATTTTCCAGGCGAAGCAGGGTAGAAAACGCCTCGACGCAGAAAAGCTTATAAAAATCATCGGTTGGGGTAAGGAGAACGGAACACTTTACTGGCTTTGCATGCATACGTGGGACTCATGGGGTGACAAAGTTTTCAAAATACCAAGAGGTGTCTATTTCGATTCAATGGAGTGGGTCACCATGACTGGAACCTATTTGGATATCGGCAATAACTAATTATGTTGGTTTCTCTGGTTCAAATTTAGAGTGTATGCATGTTGCATGCAACTCATATCATCATAACGACATTACTGAGCGAAAAAGATCCTTGCACATCTACAAAGGTCATTTTCAAAATGTACAACATGTATCTACTCCATTGATAAATGGACTATGCTTTAAAAATAAATAAAAATATCTCCATCCAAGGTCCTCTTTACCTAATCCCCGAGTCGTTGCATGGTGAAGACTATTAAAGGATTTATCTCGATGAAGGTCCCAAAACATGACATTTAAAACATCCCTAAATTTGTCTGTATTTTCATGACAAATGTCTGCTGACTTTTGGCCTGAATTTTAATTAATTTGAGATGTGTTGACAAAAAAATTGTATACTTGTACACGTACTTATTGATCTGTATTCGATTTCATTAATTGAAATAAACAGGCCCCATCCTTTCATATTTCTTATTTGTTTCCTGTCACATCTTCTCATATTTAGACGCATTTCCGCTAAACGGACCCAGAGGCAGTAGGGAAAGAAGGAGTGTGCTCGTTATTCGAGAGCCGTAAGAATGAATGGGAATTATAAAGCGCCAGTAACGTCAGCGGCGACGAAGCAGCTGTCGAGCCCACTGCCCACTCGTCGTCCGCTTGAAGCGCTGCAGCGCGGCGGGCGAGGGTGACTAGCGGGACACGCGCAATGGCACCTACAAACCTAACAGGGATACTTCACGCATTGCGCAATGCGTGAAGTATCCCTGTTGGGTTTGTAGGCGCCAGTGCGCGTGTCGCGCTGGCAGCACGCCGCGCGCCGCGCCGCTCCGCTCTGTGTTCGGCTCTATTATTCAAACGCTACTTGGGTTGTGCTTGAGACTTGAATGTACTGTGAATTTCCACTTTTCATCGGTAGAGTTTTACCTTTCAACCATATATTAAGAAATGTCTTAATCAGTACGATTAGAATATAAAATTTTCGGCCGTAACACAACAGAAATATTTAAGAAAAGCCGTTATTATAGCTGAAAACTTACAATTAAATTTCCACGACCGCCTTGCCTGTGTACACATTATTGGTAGGCTGCATTCGTCATCACCCTATTTTCCTATGCACGCTTTACTTCGACCATGATATATTTTCCCCTTCATTTAAAGTACGATTCAGTCGCATAAACTTGACACGTCCCATCAATTATGCCCAGGAAATCATCTGAAGATTCCATCCCTCAATTGAACTATTTCTACCGAACGGAACTAGAGACAGGTGGAAAAGAAGGAGTGTGCTCGTTAGTCGAGGACCGTAAGAATGAATGGGAATTACAAAGCGCCAGTGACGTCAGCGGCGACGAAGCAGTTGTCGAGCCCACTCGTCGTCCGCTTTCACTCATGAGCCCTGTCCACAACGCTCTTTTGCCATGCCCACGGCTCATGAGTGCTGCATTCTTGGCGCTCAGTTCCGTTTGGTAGAATGTAAAATCCCGCTTTTCTATTTTTCCAAAGAGCATCACGCCCACTTTTAAATTGTTTCATATCCAGCTTTCTGGCACACGCCCCATCTTTCCAACTCGTCTCTACTTCCGTTCAGCAAAATACGTCCACTTACCCTTTCAAATCAAACCAAACTCCTCTCTAAAGCTCGGCAGAGTCTAGAAGTTATTCTAGATAGGATGTTTAAAGTTACTGAGTCAAAGAAGGGTATTAAGATATAGCTATGGTGTGAGTGTCAAATCCAGGGTGGCATGAAACGTAAGAAGGAAATAAATGAAAGATTGGAAATTTTAGTGAAATATTACATGAAATTTCACGAGGCTGTGGATTTTCCATGTTTTTCAGGGGCCAAAGTATGCAACTCGCGCTCAAACGCACAAAAATAGATGAAAGTCACAATTTTTAAATTTTGCGAAACATGAAAAGGAACCGGTATTTTTCTTTATCTTCCATAAACCGAAATTTTAAGATTTTATTTTAAACTTTTGCCACCCTGCTCAAATCCCGTATCTCGATCATTGACGTTGAAAACGTCCTGCCATATTTTAATTTTCCGAAGAAAGCGTGACCATAGGTTTCGCGAAAAATTTCGTTTGATTTTTCATTGTTCTTTCGACAAAATTTTCAGGAAAATCCACAACTTATTCCACATGGTGTTCGTTTCACTCAAACACGACAGAATGAACAAGTGTACAGGATCAGAAATCAAGAGTTGCAATGTATCGACGAGGAAACTCTCAAACCACGTTTCGGTTTGCGGCATTTTAAAATCTCCTCTCTTCGTTTTATTTTTTGAAATGGGAAACAGTTCAGTTCATGAACAAATCAGTTCTGGAAATTTTCCCAGCATTAGATTCGCAAATCGGGAAGAATCACTAAATTTCTTGAAAGTAGACGTCGACTACTGCCGTTCAAAGCAAAAACGCTGTATGAGCATCCAGCCGTTGCCAAATTTCCTTTGATAAAACACGAATTTCCTGGTAAACTTATGAATATTTTCCTTACCATTTTTCAGGTAATTTTGTTTGCAATTTCACCTAATGTTCCCTAAAATTTCAAGGGGAAAATTCATAACTCCTCAATAGTAAATATTTTATAGTAGGAAATTTGGCAACTCCCGAATGTTCATACGTTGTTTTTCCTTATCACGGCAGCGTAGTTCTCCTTCTGAAAAAGTTTGACAGGAAGTTAAAGAGATTGACAAGTGAAGATACTTAGTTTGGAAATTTCACCATCAGTATGTTATCAATTCAAAATTAAACGTATAACATGGCGGACATTGAACATTTTCAATGTGCGCCTTTGGATGAAAAAGTATAGTTCTCCGCTTATTCGATTCAAATTTCTCTTCCCCAAGTAAACAAAAGTCCACCAGAATAAAATAGATCCTTTACTTATTTCAGGACGATTCAATCATTTCCTCTCTGTCATCTATATTTTTTGACTAGTTTGAAAGTACCATGTATCAACAAGGAAGAAAGAGGTCAAAGACAAAAGTCAAATTATCTGTCGGCAGCTTCTTTCCAATCACAAATTTGACTTACGTTTAATTACGGTTTATCCCACAAACAAAAAGTTTAAATCCTTGAACTTTAATGAAAGCGGTAAACGTTAATCTCTCTCTCTCTCTCTCTCCCTCCCCCTCCCTCTCCCTCCCTCTCTCTTTAATGCGTTAAATTTTGAATATTCTTTAGGGTATAGTACGTGTTTTGCATAACATTTTGATGAGAAAAAATGTCTTGTAACACTTAGATCTTCTTGTCTAATGGTTCCTTGAGATAGAAGGCGAGAGAAAGCTGTAGGCGGAAGCCGTTAAGTAGTCTACGAGGGCCAATCCTAGCTGTGGATGTAATAATACAAGATGATGCGACTATTCCAACTCGGAGGTAACCCATGGCGGTATCTGTCGAAATTGAAGGCAGTATTGGAGGTGGTGTAAACGCTCCATTCTCCAGTGAACAAACAGTCTGCGGTATTGCGGTCCAAATTGCGAAATGATTACGAGATACAACTATTCAAACGCGGTGGTAACACCAGGTGGTATCCACCGATATTGCAGGCAGTATAAGAGGTGGCGTGAACACTTCGCTTTCCAGTGAACATTCGGCCAGCTCCAAAACCGAGTGCCTCAATTTCAATGTTTTAGAATTTTTGCACATGTTACACATTGCTTGGAAAGAAAATACAGGAACGACATTTTTTATAAACGCGATGGTTGAAAAGCTTCGTGAGAATTTCTAGCAGTAGTACTAATTTGTTTTCTCATTAAAAAATAAAGTATGTGCGACGATTGAAAGTAGACTTTTCAACGTTTATAGTCTATTCTTCGCCTTGTCTCGTGGTGTTTTATTTTATTTTTCTCGAATTTAAATAATGGGCATCATTAGATACATGTTTTCGGTCCCAGCTGGTCACAATTGTGAGTTTTTCCTTTTGACAAGACGGTATGAAAAATCGTAGTTCCTCTGGCGTAAGGGCGTATATTGATTTCCGCATGAGCCCCAAAAAGTATTGATTTACATTTAAAACAGGGCTCACGCCGCACGTTGGATCGAGTCAAAAGGAGAGGTCGGACAAAACTTGGAAACTTTAAACGCTTATAACTCCGTTCACGTATGCCCGTTCACTGCGACAAGATAAAACGCCTTCAATGAATTGAATAGGCACATCGAGCTCTTTAGAGGTCGAATAGTGGTATCATGCCCCACAACACATCTTATCATAAGATTTTGCACCATAAACCGTGTAGAATTTTCGTATGAAATTTTGGCCATTTAAAAAAATGTTTTAACTTCGGTGTATTAATTCTAATGTTTTTCTTTAAGTTAGCCGTATCAGATTACGAGTAAAATTTGTGTTAAAGTTCACGGAGAAAAAACTTTAGCCGTCAAAGAGGTAGGTGGTTTTTTTTCGTTTGTTTGTTTTTTCTCAATGAGGGGATGTGTTCTTCGCACACTGAGTGACACCGCATTGGAAAACTTGTGAAAAGGTCATTAGAGAAGGGTCCTTTCCATACAACAAAGCCAAAAACGTTATTTTCCGTTGATATCAGGTTCATTATCGCAACATATTTGCTCATCCTCAAGTAGAAGGAGGAATCTACGTGCAGACAATTTTTTTCGAAAAGACGGCGCAAAGACCCTGGCGATTCATCTCTTATGACACATCGATTTGGTCATTCGCCTTGTGTTGATTCTGCGTGGGCGAGGAGGATGTTTTGCTTCCCTAAATTTATTTACTCAATTTCATTCTTCTAGGAAGTGGGGCATCTATCATAAGTTACTCCTCTCAGTCAGAACGCACTTCACTTTTTTTCTGAATATTAAATATGGAAGCACTTAAGATACGGAAGAACTTCCGTGACACATGAAGTGAATCTCGTTCTGATGCTTTGAATATAAACGGTCTGCAGGACTTGCGGGAATTAAATCCTATTTAATGAAGCAAAGCTGTAACAGTGTGAATAGTCAATGATGAAACTTCGTACTAATCGAGCGACAATGGTAAGTAATTATCTGTTGGGTAGTATTATCTTTTCATGGGCTTTCGTATCATCTTCTTTTACAGATTTGAATTTTTGAAACCTTCGGTAAATGGAGGAAGTATACTTACGTGATATTTTGGAAACAATTAAGATAGGACAATTCTAAAAAAGAGAAATATCTCGAGGAAAACACCTTGCCAAAAAAACACAACAAATCCACCAACCATTTGCCATTTTCCGTCACAATCCTTTAAAATTTTCATGAGCCAAATTCAAAGCAGTTTTTACACTTCTCACTGATTTTTTTTTTATTATCTAGAATGTGGTGCTCCCCTCCTTCATTTACCAGGAGCTTTACTTACTACACCAAAACAATAGACGTTACGAGATGTAAATCTGCAAGTATGCGACTTGATATCAATGTTCGGAAAATCTATAATTTGTGTCGCTACACTAAATTGAAGGATATAATGATGCCACTATGTCCAAAATGATGACCGGTTGAATGGGAATAATTATATTTGTATGTCAGATTTCGGAAGGGAATCTGGTAAAAATTAGGCATATTATTCTCATAAATAATGAACATTTTCAGAGGGAAGAACTTGGTCTCGTGGTCGTGGAAATGGTCTCGAATACGAAGAATTTAAAATGAAACACAACCTCCTGTATAATAATGGAACGTAACGGTGAGAGGCGGCCGTTTGATAAAGGCTGTGGGGTGGATCTCCTAGTATTCATAAATATTACAATCAAAGCTGCAGCGTTCTAAAGTTGATTTCTCAAGATAGTGTTCCAATTAGTAAAGTAAATAAACACTCAGTGAGACACTTCATGCAAAAGCACTCTCTCTTCATTGTCTGAAGAATTATCTAATCATTGTCCTCCATCATTTTGCTTGATGAAAACTCATAAACAAGTAATCAACTATAAACATCAGGTGACTAACAATTTGCTCTGCAAGTTATGCAAATCACCTATCTAAAATCGGTATGAGGTTCAGAGAACCGGATCATTGGGACTAAAATAACAACAGGACACAAATCATTGCTATGGAATTAAAACATTGGCGGATCTATGAGGGGGCGGAGGCGGTGTAAGTCCTTCCCGTTCGTCTGAAAAAAAGGAAAAAGAAGGAAGGAAGGAAGAAACGGGGGAAAGGAGAAGGAAAGACGATTATATTTGGTAATTTTTCAAGAAGAAATTGTCTGAAATTGCATATTAGATGCTTTAAAATTTCAACAATTTTCCAAAAGAAGCCCCCCGGACCTCTCTTCCACCCCGCCGTTTGAAATGTCTGGACCCGCGTTTGTGATAAAAAATAAACAAATTTCAAGATAAAATGGATGTTCGATGATATACCATGTTGACATCTTTATTTTGAATTTACTTCTCAAACATTAATTCTGGAAAAAGTAATTTTTATAACTTTTATGGGTCCTAAGAATTTCGCTTTCTGCCACGTTGGAAATAGTAAATAAATAAGACAATTTGTAAAATTTATAGGGAGATCCATGCCCAGATGAAATTTCCTTCTAACAGGAGAACTTGAAAGTTTTACCCTGTCTTAAACACATTTTCTCTTTTTCGAGATGTCTTGTGCGTCTAACCATCTCCGTTCTTCGTCATCACAAAATAAGTCAAACCAACTACGTAGTAAACTTTTCTCAATAATTCAATTAATATTCTAGAATTTGAAAGCCAAATTTTGCCAAAATCTCAAAAGGCAATCGCAAATAATATATTATATGGATACTGATGAGTCCATTTTCCTAAAAAAAAAAATTCTTCCTTTTTTTGATGATGAGAGGAATAATTCGCTACAAAATTCCGTTTTTTAAAATTGTTAAAAAATTGTAAAATGTTACAATTTTTCTAATTGTGTTAAGGAATTTCCTCTGGCTGGCTTGAAAATGTTACTTGTCATTGTCTTGTCCCTTGTCACATTGATACACCAATGTCTGGGCGCGGATAGTATTGATAAGCTTCTGAAGAAACATCCAACTTGGTCGGTGAGTACCTCAATTTTTTTTCTAGCCTATTAGAATAGATTTACTTTTAATTCTAAATGAAGTGTGTTGAATCAAAATCTCACAACTCCACCTGCTCAATCATAACAACCTCATATATATATGTTCTGCTCAATACTGCATCTTTTATGAACAATATAGTTGTGAGCATAGACATTAAATTTAAGAAATTCCGCGATGCTGTCTTCAGTACAGTGTAAAATGTATGTCAGATCTTCAACGCTCTTTGCCTAACGGAGACTAACGATCAAAATGCTCAACTGTTGATTTAGCAAACTTACCATCATTTGCAAAGCCCCGTCGAGAAAAATGTTAAGGCGCGTTCAGACGGAACGCAGAATTAAGGGAGAATTATATACCTTTACTCAAGAAGCTGCTCGTCAAATATATTAAGGCCGGCACAAGATATTTCCAAACTTAATTTTTCCCTTTGCCAATTGTATTCCTCAGATTGTCAGTGCGAGATCTCTAAAATGTATTGTTTCCATTTTTTATAGCCGCCATGAATATTGCAGTTCAGTATGACATTTTCGAAGCATTTTTGTGCTAAATACATAATTTTTGGTTCAATCGTTAAACCAGATTATATATTCAATTTTGAACTCGCCTTTTTTCACTGTAGCCCCTATTCCCACGAACGATTACGTTTAATGTATGGAACAGTCTTATTATGATAAGGAAAATACAACGTTATAACCAAATTCAACGATGAAATAAAAGAAAAATACACTAAAAAGTGAGTATAATAAAGCTAAATGATAATCTGCGGGGCCGAAATTTTAGTCTCGACTGCATTCAAGTCCGGCTCACAGTGGACTGAGTCAATTAGAGAGGTCGGAAATGAAATCTTTGACTTGAGAACTGCAAGTTTTGATGGTTAAATCGTCAAATTTTAAAGTTTAAAGGGTACCTCTGAAAGAAAATTTTTCGAGGAAACCAATGGAACCACTTTTAAAACCTCAAAGTTTTGTATGAAGGGAAGTATGAGCTTTTAAAGTTTCCAAATTTTGCCAGACCTCTCATATTGACTCGATCCACTGTGCGGCTTAACGCTTCTGATCTGTAGGTGGTGCGGTTTGGATTCATTGAAGGATGTTGCACCTCCGTGTGAAAGAGCCAACAAAATTCGGGCTCAGGTCATCTGGTAGTCTTCTTGGATTTTTTTAATGTACATACTTTTCTTGTGTTTTGAGGTGATTCGATGGACACCATATTTTGTGTCAGTACGACAAGCGATATATCGCATCGACTGGTTCCATTTTTTCAGCTACTCGTCATTTTTCTCAAATTTTGAGATCGCAATTCAATTGTCAGGAGACCAAAGAATCCACTTACCAATTTTGACAAACAAATTCAAAGTATTCAACAAAACCAGGCGTGGTTTTTTTAGAGGAAAATTATGGCATTCAATACTGTTATCGAAACTGCACTCGAATGCGATATTTTTCCTCTGAAAAAACCACGCCTTTATTACGTTGAATTTGTTTGTCAAAATTGGTAAGTGGATTCTTTAGTCCCCTGGCAACAGAATAGCAATCTCAAAATTCGAGAAAAATGATTAGGTAATAAAAAAATAGAGCCAATCGATGCGATATATCGCACGTCGTTCTGACACAAAATATGGCGTCCATCGAAGCACCTTAAAAAGTCTCAATCAGCATTGCATTGGGAATTCAATTTCAGTTTGAGGTGCAAAGCGTTGAGGCAGTCATCAAGGACGCTTTGCATAAACACAAGTTGAATGGAAACAACTTCGAGTTGACGGAAACAATGTTGCGAGAGAAAATGAGGAGAAGTCTGGCTCCCGGAGCTACCCATATCGTGAGGAAAGTCGGCGACCCCAAATGGGAATCCAACCCGGAGAATGTTCCCCACTTCTTCGACGCAAGAGAACACTGGAAGGACTGCGCCTCCCTGATGAACCAGATTGAAGACCAAGGCGCTTGTCGCACAGATGGGGTACGTCTTATATACCTATATTGAGAAATCAAATTGTGCTCTAGTATTGCTTCCCTTTCGTATGAGAAGTGAGAGATTTATACTGGCATCGGTACATACCGTTTGGGCACTGGAAAAAAATGTTTTGGAACCAAAGGCTAGATTCTTAATCGGATTTGGGCCTAAATCGTGAGCCAAACCTCTTACTTAATTTCGTCGCTCCTCTGACGTAAGGGCGTATCTCAATTTTCACATGAGCCTCAGAGAGCATGAACTCAAACCGAGGTTAGGGCTCACGTTTAAATCTAGATACGCCCTTACGTCAGAAGAACGACGATTTAAGAGGATTCCGCAAGGATCCCGTCAAGCAAAGATTCTCACTACTTAAGAAATAATTTACTTCCTTAGGTTTCAATTGTAGGGGCCGTCCATAAATTACGTCATCCAAGTAGGGGGGGGGGAGGGTCAAGCCAAGGATGACGTAAGCTTTTCTGAAGGCAAAAAGGCTGAAAATCTTCAGTGGCATGGCGTGCTTTGCAATATATATCGATTGATTTGCCATTTCAACCTATGGAATAGGATCGATGAAAAGGATGTTCACAGCGAAACCTTAAAAATCGATTATTTATCATAGCTACCAATGGGGCAATATCGATTATCGATCATTTACGCCACGCCACTGAGAATCTTACCTAATTTTCATTGATTTTCTGCGGTTTCCTGTTAAAAAAGAGGGGCTTACGCTACGGATGACGTAATTTCAAGGGGAGGGCCGTCTAGCAATAGATGACAGTTGGATACGGTGAGGGAGTCGCAAAATTGAAAAATGGGGCATGTAATTTATGGACGGCCCCTTCACAGTTTTTGAGGAAATAAGTGGTTTGAGATCATAAATAAATCACTATTTATACACTGAAAAAAAAACTCCGGCCGTGGGAGCCGCAACTACTGGCTATATAGACATACCGTCCGTTCCGGGCTCAAATGCCGAAAATTCCGGCTGCTGGAGCCGTAGCTTCGGCCTCTGAACCCGGAGCAATCGAAGCTACGCTTCCAGAAGCCGGAATTTTCGGCCTTATGGACGGACGCCTTCGGACGGTATGTCTATATATAGCCCGTAATTGCGGCTCCCACGGCCGGAGTTTTTTTTTTTCAGTGTAATTTTGAAATATTTTCCTTTGGTGATCTTTTAATTTACACGTTTTTCTTCGTATTCCAGCCTGGTGTCGTCTCTTCTCTTATGGCCGATCGCTACTGCATATTTACAAATGGTACTTTTAAGGAGAAGTTGTCCCAAGAGATGCTCATGAGATGTGCCGAGGCCTGTACCCACGATTCCTTCCAACTCTATTCATGGGAGTATGCAACGGAAGAAGGAATTCCTACCGGTGGAGCGTATGGGTCGGGCAAGGTGTGCTTTTACGAGAAACTATCGGTGGAATTCACAAAGCTGAGTTAAATGGCGGTGACTTCACGACGCTTCTGACAAAATCAGGGAAATTTAAATGATACGGGGGGGGGGGGGAGATTGTATTAGAGCGAGTCAAAATACATCGACTTTCGAAGATCAAAATCGCATAAGGGGAAAAGTTGCGGCTAGGTATCAAACTAGAGTGTGCCAAAGTATTCCTGGAAAATGAAATTTTTACAGGTGCCTCTTTTACAAATTTGTGTAAAAAAATCACAAATTTCAAGCTGCTCTTTGCGATTTCATCGCATATTTCAAGCTGTTTTTTAAAATCGCCAAAAACAACTTGAAATATGTGATTTTTTGACACACATTGCAAAAGAGGCACCTGTATAAATTCTCTTTTCGAAAAATGCTTTGAAACACTTTAGTTTGATACCTAGGCGCAAATTTTTCCCCTATACAATTTTGAAATTCGAAAGTTAATGTTCTTTAACTCCTCTTAGGGGCTACGCCGGTACGCCCCCTGACTGCTTCACAGTCCAAACCCCCGAGGCTCTTCGCGCCTCAGCCTTTATGCGTCACGCATTACATGATTTTATATTGTAGAGTATGATATTGAGTAGATGCGACTTAGTGGAGGAGCTCCGGCAGTATCACTATCAGAGCTGCTGTGCTAAGAAAGAACGCCGTATGAACATTAGAGAGTTGCCAAATTTCCTTCAATAAAATGTCTATTTTTGGGAAAAGATATGAATATTTTTCCTTGAAATTTTCAGGAACTTCAGGTGAAATTGCTAACAAAATTGTGCGGAAAATTGGAAGGAAAATACTCATAAATTCAGGAAATTTGTGTTTTATCAAATGAAATTTGGCAACGCTTGAAGGCTCATACAGAGTTCTTCCTTAGCACGGCAGAGTGGCGGTTGGGTGTTGCAGATCGCACAGAAGCGCTGTAAGAGCGACATGTTCGTTAGTTAGAGTACGATATTCCGGCACGGCGTTATTCTAGGATACATTATTAATAATTAAGTAAAAAGAGAATGACAGATTTGACCATATTTACAGCTGCTTTGGTGCCAACCAAGAAATACGGTTGGGTTGGATATTTCTCTGATAGAGTTAATGTGAATATTGACGAGCATCTAGTAAGGAGCGTGCTCTCCCTACTGATTGCCTCAGATGTTGTGCGGTATTACTTGTTACTCTTAGGATTTTATATTTTAAAGTGAAATATAGTTACATGACTTAACCATATTTCTTGGTTGCCACCAAAATCAACTTTGCATATCGTTAGAACTATCTATCATTTTTAGTGAAATTTAAAAAATTGATCAACCGCGGATATCCAAATTGCGGATACACAAGTCCAAATAACTATGAATTTCATAAATATTTTTTTTATGTATTATTATTTTTTTAATCATCGATGTAAAATGCTCTTATTTCAGGGGTGCATGCCTTACAGGTACCCTCCGTGCGATCATACTAGTTTGTATGATGTTAACGCAAGTATCGGCAAAGCGAAACTGGAAGAATGTAAGGGTCAGTTTATCTTCGACGACGATTGTCCCACAAAATGCACGAACAAGAACTACAAAACATCCATCGACAAGGATCGAGTGAAATGTGAGTTAAAATTAGATTTGTACAATAATGAGTCGTTGAACCTTGTGTTTTTTATATTTCATTCTGAAATTACCAGATGAGTAGATTACGTTGTAATTTATTGCGTATTTTGGGAGCCGAAATCCCGCACAATCTTGCTTTTAAAAAGTCCAAATACTCGGAGGATTTTCAAACGCGCCAGAATAGCGGGAAAATAATGACAGGGATGTATACCGCGGCGGTCAAATCGCTATCTCTTCTCATTTCCCACTGATGTTATTTAAACACTTATTTTAATGTGGATTCAGTTCCTATTTACGAAAAGTTACATATATGAGATCCAATCCTTTGATTCTATGGTATCAACTTTCGTACTTATTAGTTCATGTCCGAAGATTGGAAAGACAAATCGACGGTTTAGGTAGACAATCACATAACTCGGTTTGCGACGTCGCAGACTTCCTGTCTCACAAATTTTTTTAAGCGTAAAACTACTCAACGGCAATTCTTTAAAATTGCCGTGATTTTTCTTCCCTGTGCGAAGAAAATTCCGCAAAATCTTGAAGGAGTGATTTCAATTTGTTCTCCTTTAAACAATAACATAGAGGCGGAGATTTTCAGACACCGGAAACGAGATATGTGATTGCGGACTCACGCCGTCGATATTTACCCTTTAATTGTGGTAAAAACCAAGCAGAGACCATCAAAAGAAATGACGCGAGGTCCTGATTTACGGCGATTTTGGCGTCGCGCAAGCCAGAGAAGAAAACGCAGTCGAGTCGCTAGCCATCTTCAAAGTGTGATATGCGCCTTAACCTTGCTGGCTGCAATATGCCTTTACCCGTGGTTGAATAGTTATCACAATCGGTTCTCACATCGCGTTTGGCGCAATGCGAGAAGTATTCATGCAGTCTTGTAGGCGCTAGTATGCGTCACGCCGACCGCACTGTTTGGCGCAATGCGAGAAGTATTCCTGCAGTCTTGCAGGCGCTGATATGCTTACCGCGTGACCGAGATATATGTGATTGCGGACTTGCGCCGTCGACATCAGTCGGTTCAGAGCTAAACCGGGGTGTTTTAAATTGCGGAAAAATTACGCATTTTGAACTGCGTAATTATCCGCCTCTTAGTTACTTTTCCGTGATTTAATGTACGCATCGTGTCCTCCGCATAATTTACCAGCAGAAAAATATATTCGCAAGTTGAAATTTGTTAATGGTTTAAGGACCCATTCCTGTGATTTCCTGGATCTTCTCTTCTTACGCTAGGATCAGACTCAAGGTTCAGGCAGACCTTACTTTTTCCTCGTCGGAATGCCTGAATTAATAAACTACCTCACAATATAAACGGATGCGGGATTTTCCTTGGGAATTTTCCTTTCTCGTGGATTCGACAAGTATCTTTTCGCTCTGACTGAAGTTTGTGTCAGGCCATTTTGATGAATTCATATGCTTGTTACGACTGAATTTCTCATGTTTTCTGATGGTCCAATATTCAATCTTTACTTTGTTTTTAACATTATATGTCTTGCTTTTGTTTTTTTCTGTTTTTCCAGTCACAGCATTTTACTTCCTGTCAATGGATGAATTTTACATAAGGAATGAAATCATGACTTACGGTCCAGTCAGTGCAAGCGTAGGGTTATACAGTGATTTCCTTGAAAAACCAGATGGTACGTATTATACATTGTCTTGAAGTAATTTACATCATGTTAATTTACACCAAGAAAAATTTTAAATTTACCAATAAGTTGTAAAAATTGAATACGACTACCTATGCATTCTTCTAATCAGTGAATCTCCGTTGAATATTTTCCCTGAAAAAAATTCATAAGTTTTACGACGCATGCGAGTAAACACTACAATCCTCAAATTTGTACCTTGCCTATACTGGTCCATTTCATTTTTTTCTCCCAGAATTGCAATATTTTACATTATTTATTCCAATCAATACATACATTCCAGTCGCTTTACAGCGCGCTCGGGCGCTCTGCGACACCTAATCGCCATCCTTGCCTATTGATCCAGAGGTCATCTGGTAGATGGCATCTTGTGATTTCATCTTGAATGCCACCAAATCAATGCCAATCATAAATCAGATTATTAAACAAAATAAAATTATTTGCATTGCAAAGAAAAATTGCATAATATTTTAGTTACGTTGCGATGACTTTAAATAAGAAAAGCCCCTTTAGTTAGTGACAGGAAACTCACGCTGCAGTAGATTTTGGAAATAATTGGACGTATTTCTATCAAACAAAACTATGTGCATTGTGACGTGAGCCCTGCAATGCATATATTCTTATGGGTATCAGGGCTCATCAGTCTTAATGCACATAGTTCCGTTTGACAGAAATACGTCCAATTACCTATCGACGGCGGAACTCCTCTGCGAAGTATTTCGGTTTTCGACCGCAGACCTCCTGTCATACTTTACTTATTAAAATGGTGAATTATTACTCAACGTCAATCCTTAAAAATTACGAAGAAAGTTTCCCTCTGTGCAGAACTAATTCTGAGAAGAAAAAAATAAAGAAATTATGTTGATTTCTCTCCTTCAAAAAAAATAAAATAGTAGCTGAGATTTTTAAACGCCCCGAACGATGTGCGTAGTTTTGAAGTTTCACCTTTGCTGCTATGTGTAATCGCAGTTTTTTACATTTTGTGTTACTTGGATTATTCTCCTCCTTTCATGAAATTAAACTGACATCACGCTATTTTTCCGTTACTCAATAAATACAGACAGTTTGCATGTCGGCATAGAATTGACCACCAAAAGTCAGCGAAAAATAATTTAGCTCAAGTTTGGCTGGTCGCCTACACTTTCCAAAATTTTGCGGCAGAGTTACTTTAAAACCGAGTGTGCTTTATGTTTTTGGTTCTTACAGGAATTTTCCAAAGCAAAGAAGACAGGACCGTTGGCCGTATGGGGGACTGTTGTCACAGGTTTAGCAATCCTGCGGACCCCAGCTGGTAGCCCCTGCCTCAAAGGGGGCAGTGGAGATGGTCACCGGCCTCTGGGCGTATGAACCACCTGCTAGAAGGGCAGACAGGGCTCTGAGCTGAAGTGAAAGCAACCTGTCTAGGAGAGGCAACTCCGAAATCAAACCCTGGTCCTCCAGGTTGGGGGTTGAGTCATCGGGCTAACTCCCCGGTACTTGTAAAAAGTTTTACTGTTAAACGACCTAACAATACAAGCCTCGGTACCACTAGAACTAAACGGACACGTCGACAAAAATTGAGAAAACGGACAATGGTATTTGGGACGTGGAATGTCCAAGGCATTTCAAATAAGTTACCGGAAGTGATATCGGAGATTCAGAAACTTGGAGTGGATGTCGCTGTTCTTACTGAGACCAAGAAAAAAGGGCACGGGTCAGAGAATTACGGTGACTATGATCTATTCTACAGCGGCGTAGCCAAAGATCAGCGTGCTCAGCAAGGAGTAGCAATACTTTTGCGGAGAAGCCTACGTAAGTTCGTGGGCACTTGGGAGGCCGTCAACCAGCGCATCATCAAAATGAACCTTAACCTGTACGGACATAAGATCACGCTGCTCGGAGTATACGGTGTAAATGATGATGCCACTGTCGCATGTAAGGACCAATTCTTCGAAGATCTGAATGATGAAATACTGAACGTTGGTGCTGGCAGGGAAGCCGTTCTTATGGGTGATTTGAACAGCAGAACGGGACGACGAGTAAACTGTAAAGTTGTTGGACCGTTTGGGGAGGATGCTGTTAATGATAACGGTGATCGGCTCATCTCAATTTGTTCTCAAACTGAGATGAAAATTTTGAATGGCTTTTTTCAACACAAAGACATCCATAAGTATACCTGGGTCCAGCCAACGCGAGGATTGAAATCCATCATCGATTATGTAATTGTAAAGCACACTACTAAGTTGAAATTGCAGCAAGTTAGAGTGTGCAGGGGACTCTCTTGCGGCAGTGATCATCATTTCCTCCGAGCAGATATAGCGTTTCCCGTTAAAGGGATTAAAGATAAAGAGCCAATGCCTGAGCAACAGCAGAGTCAGGGAACGCAAAATCATGAAGTATGGTATAACATCGAAAGTTTGGAGCACCCTAGTGTCAAGGCTCTGTATCGGAAACGCTTAGATGAGAAGCTGGGGGATGGACTCTCGGGTACCACGGAAGAGCAATATCAGTTCATCAAAGATTGTATCCACTCTGCAGCGAAAGAAGCCCTAGGTGTTCACAAAACCAGTAATAAATACCAGCATCCTTACTGGTGGGATGAAGAAATTGAAGACGAGATAAATCTTAAGAGGCAAAAACACCTTATATTTCTGTCGTCTAAAAAGACTGAAGATAAAGTTGCTTACAGGAAAGCTCAGTCTAAAGTTAGGAGCCTCATAACACGGAAGAAGAATGAAGCTTGGGAAAGCAACTGTTCTAGAATTAACACCTACCTAGGGGGGAGAAAAAGTGCTGAGAGCTGGAAGTTAATTAAAGGTTTACGTAGAGACATGAAGCGCGACATCGTTTCTCCGATATCACTTAAAAAACTGGAGGATCATTTTAAAGATCTTTTGACGGAAAGGCGCCCAGAGTTTCGCGACAACAGCACGGACAACGGAAGAATGAACAACTTGGAGATCCACACTTGTGACATAATTAAAGCGGTTAAAGAGCTAATTAATGACAAAGCACCGGGTCCTGGTGGGATTCCTGTCGAGTTGGTCAAGTACGGGACTGCCAAGCTCTTTGAGTGCCTCAGAAAACTGATGCAACAATGCATCAGGGGTGACGAGGTACCAAGGGAGTGGAAGGAGTCTTGGATCAAGGCCATCTACAAAAAGAAGGGAAGGAAGGACGACTGTAACAACTACCGGGGGCTCTCAGTGACCGGGACAATAAGCAAAGTGTACGGGAAGATACTGAAAGCGAAGATCGAGGACGAATGGCAGGATCACGAAGCAGAGGAGCAGGCTGGTTTTAGAGCTGGCAGGTCTACGATAGATCACCTCTTTGTTATTGTCCAGGTCATTGAGAAGAAAATGGCCGTAGCTCAGGAACTGCATTTAATTTTTGTGGATCTCCAGAAGGCGTATGACAGCGTGCCGTTGGTGAAACTTTGGGAGGCCTTGGAAAAATCGAATTTTAACGGGGGGTTGATTGACGCTGTTAAGCGATTTTATAAAGGGAGTTTTACCAAAGTTAAGTGCCATGGGGGGTTGTCAGCGGGATTTTATGTGACTAAGGGTTTAAAACAGGGATGTTGTTTGTCGCCAACATTATTTAAAATTTATCTCGAGTGCGTGCTAAAAGAATGGAAAAAGAAATGCTCTGATATGGGTGTCCCCTTGGGTGATCTCGAAACTCTGTTTACTCTGTGCTTTGCTGATGACCAGGTGGTGGTTGCTCAAGATCAAGATGACGCGGAATACATGATGCGCAAGCTAGTAGAAGAGTATCGGAAGTGGGGTCTGGAAGTCAGCATATCCAAATCTGAGAAGATGACTTTTGGCGGTGATCAGCAAAGCATTGAGTTGGAGGATGGGCAGCAGATCAAAGGCTGCGAGCACTTTAAGTACTTGGGAGTGCGGTTGACCCAGGATGGAAGGACGGATCAAGCTATCAGGGAAAGGAACACCTTAGCAAGGAAGGCTATAGCGATGTTAAATGGAATCCTCTGGGATCAGCGGATTTCCAAAGATAACAAGAGGAGGATATACAACGCTGTAGTCAAAAGTATATTAACATACGGATGTGAAGTTTGGCAGCTGAAGAAACGGACACAGGATATGCTAAGAGCAACGGAGATGGATTTCTGGAGAAGGTCAGCAGGAATTTCTAGGAGAGATCGGGTCCGTAATGATAGAGTGCGTCAGATAATGGAAGTCGAAAATGACATCGTGTTCGACGTCATGACCAAACAACTTGTTTGGTATGGTCATGTCAATAGGATGACGGAAGAGAGGCTGCCAAAAAAGATGCTTGATTGGGTTCCTCCTGGGAGGAGACGTAGGGGACGCCCAGTGAGAGGTTGGCGACAGGGGGTGTTAAATGAGATAAGAGATTGTCAACTCCCTGATGACCTGTGGGAAGACCGAGCTTTGTGGCGATTAGGCGTCGCACAGCGCCAAAGAGCGCTATAAAAGCGACTCATATATATAAGAAGACAGGATCGGCCTTGAAGATGAAAAATTAATGAAGATCATTGGTTGGGGTAAAGAGAATGGCATCAAATACTGGCTTTGTATGCATACTTGGGATACTTGGGGTGACAAAGTTTTCAAAATGCCACGAGGTGTAAATTATGACCAAATCGAGCTCATCGTGCTTACTGGAGTTTTTGAAGACCTCGACGCTGAGTAGATAGATTTAAGCATCCGCAAGAAGATTTAAAGTGAATTTCCATCCTTCGCAACTTTGATCATCCTGTCGATACATTTAAAAAGATTAATTTTCATACTATCTACATGTTTTGGTGGATACGAAAAGACGTGCAATAGTCTAGTGCTGGTAAAAGTATTTAGATAAGACGCATACAAAACTGAAATACTTTGCGTCCTAAGCTGAAACAAGAGCATCTGAATAGGGAGATTAAACACATGTGTGTAATTATGCAGAGTAAATTTAAGCAGCTTATAGAGCTCTTAATGCCCAAACCAACGCCATTTTGCATAAATTCAATACGTTCAAGTCAATCAGCAAGGTCGGACATGAAATTTTTAAAAAAATCTGCAAAATGTTCATGTTTATTTCGTCACATTTTAAATTTTAAGGGGTATTATTAGAGGAAAATTTCAGGAAGAAACCAATGAAACCACTTTTAAAATCTCAAAATTTTGTATACATGGTGTTATAAACTTTTAAAGTTTCCAAATTTCGTCCGACCTCTCCTATACATTAACGCGGCAACAAAATGTTAAATTTAAGTCTACAAATCTACTGAAATAAGGCACAAAATGCATGACGCTAAAAACCGGATTTTTATGCCCTCTCTCTCCTCTCGTCATGCACCTGTAACTCACATTTGTACTTTCTTTCTAAAAAAAAACATAACTCTTTCCTTGACATTCCCTTCCCTCAAAAAATTAGAAATGACAAATGATAGAATGATGTTCTCCTTTATTTGTTCATGCAAAAATTGATCGAGGCAAATACGAGAGAGGAAATTGCACAGAGGCGGATCCAGTAATTTGGCAACACCGGATTCCCTACATTTAAACCTATGTTAAATAATCGATTCTTGTCGGAGCACCTAGTCCCTCCAAGAATCGATACATTTCCGGAGGTTTGAATTACGAAAAACAATGTTGCCAACTTGCTTGATCCGCCAATGAAAATGTAGGGAAAACAAGCGGTTCGAACATTTTTTCAATCAATGGAGGAGAACATTAAAAAAACAGACAACATTTTAAAAATGGTTACAATAAAATAAAATGGAAAAACTTCTTGTATAATTTTATAAAAATGTAGCATCAAGCGTTTCGTAACGTGACTATAGACACGCCCCCTCCCCCCTCCAAATGCACATTTGTAATGCAGGTCCCTTCGCCGGAGTGTTACGTTTTTAGGTTACGATCCCAAAGGTGGAACACAAAACGAAGGTAAAACCACCAAAACCACGTATGGTGCGTTTAAAAAAACGCCGGATGAGCATTCGCGAGTTGCCAAATTTCCTTCAGTAAAATGTTCATTTTTGGGAAAGTTATGGATATTTTTCCTTGAAATGTTCAGGAACTTTAGATGGAAATGCCAACAACTTTATCTGAAAAATTGGACGAAAAATATTCATAAGTTTACCATTCAATTCGCGTTTTATCAAAGGGAATTCGGCAACGCCTGAGGGTTCATACGACGTTTTTCCTCAGCACGGCAGAAGAGGTCTGCAACATCGCAAACCGAGACGGGGTATAAGAGTTTCATCGTCGAAAAGAAACAAACAAAACTTACGTAAAACGAGCCGTTAGAGAACAAAAGCTTAGGAATGCGAACTTCCCAGTTTCATGATAAACTGATGTTGATAGCCATCTATGGTTATTTATGTTCCAGACAAAGTGTGTCAGGAGAGATCGCTCCCAATAAAGGAGACCTTGACCCCTCGAAGTGTCGATACTTCGATAGCTCGAAGCGAGTTATTGCTCGCAGACGGTGACTCGTTATCACCAACTGATTGATGACCAGGTTCAAGAAACGGGTCATCCACCCTGCCGTGATAGCGAGGAGAGCAGTAAGTGCGTGCTGGGATGAGCCTCGAGACACATAAAAACATGTGTTGACCGTGGCTCAAACAAAAATGTACTTACTGTTCTCTTCGCTATCACGGCAGCACCTTCCTCCTTCCACAGTGCAATGAGCGAAGCGGGACACGCTTTCGAACAGTGCATTTCTAACCGCGCGCGGTGTTATACATACTGTTGTTTTCCTGAGCATTTCCCTGTCTAGACGTCATGTTGATCCTGCGAGGACTCCCTGGTTAATCGCTGTTGCATGCAGCATGCAATCGAACCGCTGTGAGGTAACCGACATTCGGCAGATGTCTGTGTTTCCGGTGTAAATATTGTCAGTTTTTTAGTGTTTTTTTTTAGTTTCGCGTTTAGTTCAAGCTCGAAAGTAGTGGTTAGCAATTTTTTCAATCAGATGTTCCGAAAATTTTAAGTGTTTACATCGTTATTTCAAGTGTGTATTTTTTTCTCTTCTTCCGCTTCCGCAGGAAAAAAGTGTTCGGGGTTATCCTCTTCCAACTAAATATCCTTGGCCATTGTTTGAGGTTAACTCTGCCGTGCTATAAGAAAGAACGCCCTATGAAAATTCGAGAGTTGCTAAAGTTCCTTCGATAAAATGTTTATTTTTGGGAAAAAATATGAATATCTTTCCTTTAAATTCTCAGGAACTTTAGGTGAAATTACGAACAAAATTATATGGAAAATCGGACGGAAAATATTCATGAGTTTACCAGAAAATTTGTGTTTTATTATAAGAAATTTAGCAACGCCTGAAGGTTCATTCGGCGTTCTTCCTTAGCATGGCAGCACTGGTCAGAGCTACGGAGAAAACACAGGATCTTAAAGGGTGAACTTAGATTAATTGACTATTTTACTGAAGAAACCAAATTTGCTCCGGGCATGGAATTTTTAGTTGAATTCCTATGCAATTTTGATCGAATGAAACAAATTTGTGCGACAAAATCCAATTTTAAAAGAAGGTAAAATCATTCCGTACATGCCAATATAGGGAATGTTTCCTCTGAAAAATTAGTTGTTGCCAGATAGTGCTGAAAAATCAGATTTATCTATTTAAAGCCATGTACACTACGTACATTTTATTGTACAATTTTGCAACCTCGCCACACCTCACACGATCACTCGAATGACCAGGAATGATAAGTAGGAATAGGGTTATCCCCTAAAATTGAAGCGCAGGGTGCAAAAAAGGATTTTCTTGGTTGCGATGTCTCAGAGTTTCTTCTAACGTTTCATCCATTGTAATTGAAGCAAATGAATGTAATCCGTTGAAACTTTGTGTAAATTTTCCTCATAATTTTTCAATGCTGAAAACGTAAAATTTTAGAAAACTCGCATAATAGTTTCCTCTCTGAAATATAAATTAGCAGTGGAGATTTTGCGACGCCGCAACTAAGAAATGCCCTTTCTACATCCAACGTCTCAATAGTGGTACTACCCTAATTTTTTGGATGACATGGACATTTCCAATTAATTTCGGTAGTGCCGCAACTCAATTTTGGGTAATACCGCAGCATTTGGATCAGTAACCTAATTTATTTGGGTACCACCACCATTCATCGGAAATGTCCATATCATCCAAGAACCCCTACCGCTTTTTTCCGTGTCGACTTATGAAAAGCGTGCTGCTTATTTTAAGGCTTTTTCCAAACGCGCCCTGCAAAGTAAAATCGTAACAATATTGCCTCAATATAATTGGAGTTTCGACCGTTTTGAAAGGAAATATTGTATTAACGTTGTGATAATATTACCTACTCATGAGATAGAACGCAATGATATTGGGAGGTATTTCATGTATGAGCTCTTTGAGTTGTTAAATTTTGATTTTCTCGCCATTATTCATTCTGGAAAGCAACTGTGCCAGTTGCCATGATTGTAGTGGCAATCATCGGGTAATAACCTCCAGATTAGTTTGCACTTTTTAAATATTGAAACATACCCGAGAGCGGCCTTGAGGGAGAGAAGTGCCCTCAGGGAGTTGGGCCGCGTAGTGTCCTGGAGCCGTGTCTCCATGCAGTATCAGATTTGGGAGTAAAAATTAGCAAAAAAACAATGCGAGTGCATTTCCTCAGTCTTAATGCTAATTTTCATAATGGTTTTATTACTGGCGTGTCCTATTTTCGTTGTTTCCCGCCCGAAGAATGTAACACCATTCCATGGCAAGGTTGCAAAATTGATTAGAAAAATTAAATTTTTTAAGATAACAAACCTGCAGAGTTTTGGTAAAACATTTTTTCTAATTTTTTAATGAGATCAGAGGAAAAACAAGCAGTGAACTCCAACACAATGTGTTGATAAGGCGCGTCATTAACCCACACATATCAACCCCTTTAGTTTTCATTTACTAGAGATTTCAAAATAGGCAAGTAGCACAACAAGAGAATTCATACGATCGAACTCTTCGACGACGCACTTTGACGAGACCGTGTATTGTGAATGTAGAAAGCCATTCGAACGAGTTTAAGTTTTTTGATCTGCTCCCAGCAATATCTTATCAGATTCTTAAAGAAAAGTGCTACGGAATAATTTAAGCGAAGAAAGGAAAAATTCTGTCGAACTCCTGAAAGATACAGTTGATTTAAAGGTATTTTTGGGGCTGAAATATCCAAATCACCGGTACCTATTATAAATCCCGATATATTATTGAAAAGAAATTGACTCGGTATAAATGCAATTGCATTAGATACGACTTGATTTTGTTATTTTAAACGTATTTTCATGCAAAGAATTTCAACCATGTCCATGCTTTATTCATTCATGAATTGAAAGTGAGCACTCTACATCCCGAAAATCTACCGATTTGCCGTAAAAAATTGCAGAAACTCGATATACCAAGTCGATGCACCCACTCGTTGAATTTACCAACCAATTTCGTGAGTGCAAATATATAAAAATCAATATGCTATAGTCATTTTGGGTGCATTTATTTTTCATGAAAAAATAATAATTTCAATCCCGAAAAACCATCAATTTTCCGTGTAAAATCGAAAAAATCGAGATGTGTCGACTCCCTGACGTGAAAATTAGATTCTACGTGTAAAAATACTTACACGTGGATATGCTGAACAGAAACCATGTGTGGACACAGTTAGGATACATAGCCCCAGAATAATTTTAAAGCGCCTTTACTTTCCAGAATCTTGACGGAATTTTTTTTTTGGCTTAAACAACTCAAGAGACACTGTAGTTAAAAAATATAAAGAATTTTCGATTTTAACACACAAAAAAATGTTCGTTCAGGCACACCATGTATTGTATGGTGTATTGCGCTGGTATTCAATCCTTGCCTTCAGATCAAAATTCTTACAAGGAAGCCCCTTGCAAGAGGCGAATTTTTTGTAATTTCTCCCAATTTTTTCTCCGTTATATAGTTGAATTGCTTGCCAAATTCTGAGGTCAATCATATTTAATTGTAATTTATACATTTCTTTTTTCCCCTTCATTTTATTTTTTGTTTGGAGAAGTTTCGTTGATTTCTTCGAATTTCGAATACTGCAACTTCTCTTCTATTCGGCCGATTTTTATGAATGAGACCTCTTTCAATTCGTCTTTGAACGGAGAGTAAGGAAACAATTGCTAAGTACTCGCGAAACAATTTTTTCGAAAATTTGATGGATCCAAGCGTGACGGTGAAATGGGTAATCGAGTGAAAGTAATTAGGTCTGACTGTGACGAGGACCGCGAGGGTCGCCTTTTGTTCTTCAGCTGGGAAGCGACGCGGCGAACCGAGCCAGGACCAGGACACTACCTGGGTTTTGTGCCTGCCTGTGCACTGTTTTGGCCTGATAGGGGAGTGAATTTCTGTGTGGGCCACGGTTAGCACATGGTCTAATGAGTCTCGAGGCTCATCACAGATTGCACTTACCACTATCCTGCTGGCCCCGGCTATCAGAGCAAGGGGTACCAAATTTTGAAAATCTTAACAGGGTTGTGGAGATCTGTCAAAGCAACGTTTTAAACAAAACGAAGAAGTGAAATTCTCATTCAACGAGTGCCGACCTGATCAGCCATCCTCGAATCAGTTCGCTTGTTTCTGCTTATATATGCATATTTTAAATCAGCGCGTCGTACTCTTAGGCTTTTTTTAAAAAAACCAAGTAACGTAGACTCTTGGTATTCACTGCACATAAACTAGCAAGCCCCAGAATGAGAAACAACTTTAAATCATAATTATTGACGGATAAATAAACTTTTTATAGGCTTTGGAAAATCTCAGAAGTTCGCGGTAGTCACTTTTCGGTAAGGAACTAAGGGACTCGGTTATTGTATCGAGTGGGGGGTCGAAACGATCGCAAAGGCGGTATACTACGTATACGCGCCAAAATTTGAAATTTCAGTTAAAATTTCCCAAAATTCTCTTGGTAAAAATGCCATTTGCGCGAAAAAATTTGGCTACATCGAAATCTAGTTACGCTCTTTCGTGAGAGGAGCGACGTTTTGTCGATGTAGTCTGGCATCATTGCTATATTAATATTTTACCCTTGGGAATTTCCCCTCCAATATTAACAATCCATAACTTATTGTTGGTATAGCCCATGCCTCATTAAAATATTCTTCTCTGCGATAGTAGGCATACATTTCCATGCAATTATCCCGTGCAATGTTGCCCCCTATCCCATTTCAGAGCGCGGGAATTTTTGATAAATCACAATTAGGTTATGTTTCATTATTTTTGTTCACATTCGAGCCACCGTGATTGGTGCACTCATCCAATCAGAATTGGATTTTTTTAGACCACTTAAGCTACACCAGATTTGAGTTGTCTTACCTCTGGGTATAAAGGGACTCTAGATTTGAGGTGAACTCTCTCCGTAGATGAGGTGTGGTAGATACTCCGCAGCCCGTGACAAGATAACCAATAAAAAACAATTTAAAAATCGGGTACACATTACATACACATATGAGTCGCTTTTATAGCGCTCTTTGGCGCTTTACGACGCGAAGCCTAATCGCCACAAAGCTCGGTCTTCCCACGGATCATCAGGGAGTTGACACTCCCTCATCTCATTTCACACCCCCTGTCGCCAACCTCTCACTGGGCGTCCCCTACGTCTCCTCCCAGGAGGAACCCAATCAAGCATATATTTTGGCAGCCTCTCTTCCGTCGTCCTATTGACATGACCTTACCAGATAAATTGTTTGGTCATGACGTCGAACACGATGTCATTTTCGACTTTCATTATCTGACACAGGATATGCTAAGAGCAACGGAGATGGATTTCTGGAGAAGGTCGGCAGGAATTTCTAGGAGAGATTGAGTCCGTAATGACAGAGTGCGTCAGATAATGGAAAAAAGTTCACACACAAGACCAAAACGTTTCGGCTGAAAATTCAGCCATCCTCATAAGTAAGGATAAATAAAAAAAGTTGAAGAAATAAAAATAAAAATGGTTAAAAATCTAAAACAGTAGTACCTGACTGTGCCTTTCAAATTGAGAATGTTGTTATCGTAGGCGTTGGAAGTTTGTTTTAGAGCATATTATTGACACCATCTTGTTTCTCGTGATATTTTTCGCGAGGACAAGTAATTAGATTGGGAATTCTTACGGCACGAAAAACCCTCCAATCTGCTTTTGTTATAGATATCCCAATTTCAGACGGTCACACAAATCTACCGCGCGACCAGCATCGCGTCACTCGCGCCCTATGGAACCGTGGCTTTGCTTAATGGCTCTCCAGCGCCCCAGATTATGATAAAGCAATCAGAAGACCGGTCCATGAGAATAGAATTTTTAATTTTCTTATCACTGACCAACTCGCACTCTCTTTCAACCTTGTTGTGTGATAAGAAACATGTAGCTATTATGTTTGTTTACGCGCATTAAAATCTGTGCTAATTGACAATCAGCTGCTATTCATCCGCTCCTTTTGAAACATCTGCAGAGTAAGTCAAAAAGAAGCCATTATCGTACCAAGACCTGTGAAAAATTAAATGAGCATATTTCTTTTTTTCTTTTTTTTTGCATTTTACAGTCGACGAAAAGTATATTCAAATTGAAAAAAATTGTGTAGTTATTTTCTCTTCTTTAACGAAGGATGGGTATGAACAGAATCATTGTTCCCTACTTCGACATGTGACTCTAATATCTAGAAATTTTAGAAATTTTTCAAAATTAAACAAAACATGAGCGGACTTTTACATCACCGCAATCAGAGATACGCATGTTTTTACCTTAGCCATTCATGTCCTACCGTTGCATGTATATTTAGGACCACTCCTGACATTAAAAAAAAATCGTTTTTTTCCAGTCCTTCAAAACATCAAGGGCATGCCTCGGTGGAACTGTGTCTCACGAACACAATATGAAAACTTCTTTCGAGAGAACGGCGGTGATAAGTGAATGATCGGTCCTGAACTTCGGAAAGAAAAATGGAATCTACCCATTCATCTTGCAGAATACTGGTCGGGGTCAGTCACCAGGCGGCAAAATTCCTGTTGATTTTGTTGGTGTTTTTCACATTCCTGCAAGGACGGTCAGGATTTTCTGGTTTTGGCCCCGAAGTGAAACCAACAAAAGGAGCTCTCTGGCCGAGACCAAGCTACGAAAGGCGATTTAATTTCTCTTTCGCTATCGACCCGAAAGATTTTGAGTTTCAGGTCAGAGTTTCATTTCTCTCATACATTCTTATTTTAAGGCTAAAAATGTAGTATTTTTATTCAAAGTTTTTAGAGGAGAGAGAGAGAGAGAGGAAGACACACGAACAAACTAGTCGACGGAGGTGATTGCTATAAATTTCAGCCGAAATGATAACGTAATTTGAACGATTGAGTCAACTTATTTCCAAGTAATATTTTTATGGAGCAATACATGCAGATTAACGATACTGAACACGAGAAAATTGGGAACCTAAGGCTGAAAAATTGACAAAATGCATGGAGCATCTCGGGGGTAGTTTCAACCCCCTCGATTTGACCAGGAACCATGAATATAAAAATAAAAAAGAAAACCCGCTGACCCTCAATCGTGATAACAAATAAGAGCTGTTATCCTGAAGGTTGAGAAAGGTTCTAACCTCTCTTTTTTATCACAAATGGATGCCCGGGTTTTTTTTCCTTTTTTTTTCTAATTTTTATTTGTTTATGCCCTGGTCGAGGAGAACGGGAGAGACCACTCCTAATAGTCCCAGGCATCTTGTTTATTTCTCACCCTTAGTTTCCCATTTTCTGGTGTCGTGTTTCGTTGACATATTTGGGCTATTTTCGTGTGTTATCCCCATTAAAAGTAATCAAGTATGATCTTTTGAGAATGTGAATTTCCTTTTAAAAAGAACAGAAAAAAAGACAGAAAAAAATAAAACATAATGTGGTTTAAAGAAGAGCAAATGAGGACTCATATGTAACAATGGCGGATGTAAAAAATTACCTTTTTGAAACACATTCAAAAAACTGTTTTGGCATCGAGAAAACTTTGAGAAAATAGGTACTTGAGATGTGATCTTCGAGATCTGTACATTATGCCAGAGCCAAACATATTAAATTTTTGTGTGAACAAAACAGTTTTTTAAGCGTGTTTCGATAGGGTAATTTTTCACATCCGCCATTGTTACATATAAGGCTTCAAATGCATAATAATAAAAGAAAATAAAATATTAACAGAGTGTAAAGGGAAAAATATTCAAAGAGGGATCTGAATTGGATCGGTTTCTGTTAGATGGACGCAAGTAGAAATTCAACGAAATAAAGGCGTGGTTTTTTTAGAGAGAAAACATCGCATTCGATACTGATATCGGAACTGCACTCGAATGCGATATTTTCTCTCTAAAAAAACCACGCCTTTATTACGTTGAATTTCTTTGTTAAAATTGGTAAGCGAGTGCCTTAGTCTCCTGACAACCGAATTGCGATCTCAAAATTGGAGAAAAATGAGGAGTAGCTGAAAAAACGGAGCCAATTGATTCGTTATATCGCATGCCGTTCTGACACAAAATATGGCGTCCATCGAATCACCTTGAGAGCCTCTACTTGAATCTCTCACCTCTTCCAAATCAAAGAAGGCTCATTGTCAGTGGAGTTGAATGTCTTCGATAAGAAACTAGACATCAATATTTCCAAATCCAAGATAAAGACGAATTAATGGCTTCTATACTCCTGAAGACCAGTGGCGTGGAGTGCTTCGATATATATCGATTTTTCCCCATTTGAAGCTATGGTAAAGTAACACAAAAGTACACACTCTTCTCATTGCGGGTGAGGATACTACTCACCCTCATTCAAAGATGTAAAGACTTGGATACACGTAATTACTTTAAAAAAAAAAAAAAAAAAAAAAAAAAAAAAAAAAAAAAAAAATCCCTGAAGTTTTCTCAGAATTTGCTTTGCGCAGAGAAGAAAAGTGCAACCACGAAAACACGATTCTGTGACTCAAGGTTCCGTATATTTTTGCAGAGCGTGGGCCAGACCTGCCCGATCCTCGAGAAAGCGCTGGACCGCTACAAGCTCCTGATAAAAAACGCCGTTCGATATGGGAAGGTGGACGCTGCATACAATAAGGACTCACCCGCGGAGGTGGACGCAACCAAGCTGCCAGCCCTCAGGGTGGACTTGAGGAGCCCTTGCGAGGAGATTCCCTCGGACAACATGGATGAGTCATGTAGGTCAAGAATCCTTTCATGTCCCTTTAAGTATTCTACCGTGCTGAGAAAAAACGCCGTATTGCACTGAAAAAAAATCTCTGTGTATTTACTAAGAAAATGGTAAAATTACGAAGAATTCGGGGTTCTATTTGATCCCAGTTTTTTCTTTGTAAAATTACCATTCATGGAATTGGTAATTTTACCGAGAAATCTCGGTAAAATTATTGACTTTCTCGGCACTTATACTGGACCCCGGTATAAACGCCAATATTTTTTATCGACTGTGGTAAATTACCGAGATAAAATGGCAAAGTTACCGGGAATTGATTACCAATGAAAGTGGTATTCTTACCTGAAAAAAACAGTAAAAATACCGATTTTTAGGTAAGCTTACCAGTCTGTCTTGGTAAAATTACCAATAATTGGTAAAAAAAGTGAGATGGTAAAGGTACCAACGGACTTTGGTAAAAACGCCGAGAATTTTTTTTCAGTGCAGAGAGGTGTTGCCCAATTTCCTTTTGCTAAGTCGCGGATTTTCGGGAAAATTTGTGGATATTTTTCTTTCAATTTTCAGATAATTTTGTTCGCAATTTCACGTAGAGTTTCTGAAAATGTCGAGAAATACCATTCATAACTTTCCTAAAAAATCAACAGTTTATCGAAGGAAATTCGGCACCTTTCGGATGTTCATACGGCGTTTTTCCTTAGCACGGCAGTATTCCTCCGCGTATTTAAGTGGCCCAGATACGCGTGGCGCGAGGTGTGGATGTACCAGCTGTCGCACAATGGATCCAGCCAATAGGAGAGGTCGGACAAAATTTGGACATTTTAAACGCTTACCACTCCGTTTATACAAAACTTTGAAGTTCTGAAAGTAGTTTCATTGGTTTACCCGTGAAATTTTCTTCAAGAAACATCCCTTGAACAAAATACGACGAAATAAACATCAAAATTTGCAGTTTTAGTAAAAACATCATGTCCGACCTCTTTGTATAGTTGACTCGATCCACTGTGTGGCGTAGGGTACGCTTCCATTCATCGAAGCCCGCGAAAACCTCATTATCGTGATTTTTCATCACTTAATTTCAAAATCGCTTCGTGCGGAAAAATTACAAAAAAACTTGCTAAGCTTGGCATGGTGCACTGTTTTCACTGAGCCACAGCCCAGTTTTTTCCTGAAAACAAATACGTTTATCCATTTGAAATTTGAATCCCAGGTCACGTGAGAGCATGACGTAATATTTGCTCAGCTGGAAGCTACTTTGTCCATAAATCGTTGTGAAGAACAAACATTTGTACGATACATCAATTTTCCTCCATTTTTCATGTACCACTGTTTTAAAGTGCGGTTGCCCAATAGTTTCTGTTAAAATTTTCCGCTTCTTTTTTTTTTAATTTTTTGTTTTGCGATGGATTCACGATTATCAGAAAAATATAACACCTTTTTATTTGCAAGAGAATGAATTGGACGTATTTCTGTCAAACGGAACTAAGCGCCAATTTGAGTTCCTTTCGAGGAATTTTGAATCCCGGATAGCGCGTTCTGTCAAACGAAACTAAGCGCCATGGAAAAACATTGCGAGTATAGGACGGAACGAGCCCGACGCCCGGTTCCGCCGCCAATCCAAGCCCCCCGCTACCTTCCTCCTCCGATGGCGCTTGGTTCCGTTACACAGAAATACGTCCAATTTTGGTTGCGACTATACCTCGATTGACACCAAATCCGATTGTTTTTGGAAATAAAATTGAAGAAATAAATTACACTGGCTTCGCGTAACTTTCGGAGAGCAAATTTTATGGCAAGGGACAATTTTCCGGCAAAGACCGGAATATTGTCATTAAAAAAAAACCACATGTCTTTAAATTTAACATATTGAATCGATAAAATATCCGGAAGAGTTCCGTCTTAAAAGAGATTATTTTGTCCTTGGACTCATGTAAATGCATGTGAATTTAGTTTAAACACATATTCATATTTTAATAATTTTTTAAATGTGCTTTATTTGCAGATAATCTGACGGTGAGTCATTTCTCATCGGCCCTTCTATTCATGAATCGCATATCAGCAAACTCGATATGGGGCATTCTCAGAGGTCTCGAATCCTTTTCACAAGTCCTCGTACCGGATAAAACAGGCCGCATGGTAAGTCACCGCAATTTCTATAGGTATTTATAACACTGGGAAAAAAAAAAAAAAAAAAAAAAAAAAAAAAAAAACAATGGATCTAGAGTCCGGACTCTTGAAAACATTGACAAGAAAAAATACTCTTGATTCAATCAGATTTAAGCTTAAATCAAAAGGAATTCCGCTCAAATTAAGAGGCTTTCTTCTTGATTTAAACCAAAATCCGATTGAACCAAGAGTATTTTTTCTTGTTGATGTTTTTAATGGACTCTAGATCCAATGTGTTTTTTTTTTCCCAGTGAAGGCACATATTTGAAAGTATGTCAGCTGTAATAATTTAATGCGTAATGCTACTTCTAACTTACCATAGGCAAGACATTTGCGCATTATTAAACCTGTTACCTAAGGGAGTACACCTTAGGTGCGGCAATAAGATTATTCGATTCGGGTAAGTTCCTCCGGTTTTATGACTGCCTTTAAAAAAATCTGAGAGGAAACATTTCATTGATTTTTGTCAACGGCTCATCTAGGATTTTATGCGAGAACTTTAGACCGGCATCCTCTAAATACTATATCATTAATTCGTTTTTTCATGAACTCTGCCCACTGGTGCCCCAATTTATTGACCCTTAAGCAATCAGTAATGTAAGCCATATTTTCATGAACGCTTTGGGCCCTGCAGAATGGAGCTCTGATTTACATTTCTGACTGGACTTTTTTCTAATTCTCCGGCGAAAAAAATTCAAATATGTTGATTTGCGCACTCGAATTTTTCCTGAAGTAACAATGAATCGAATTTACCGCATATGTCGTTCTCAGAGCAGCAGGTTGATGTTTGAAATTGATAGACAAAGTGATAAACAAAGAAGATTTATGGAGTATGAAGCGATCCTATTGGTTGAAATGGTTGGTTCTTATAGACGAAGGGAGAAAATAATTGACTGACTGAAAGGTCTCTCGTGGGTTACCGTTAGTTGGTCTATTACCTACCTTCTTTCCCTATTGTAACCACCCGCTTCCACCAATAGGATCTCTCCGTATCCTTTTTGTCTTATTTATCTGTAGCTTCCTCCATCAATTTCAAAAATCAGCCCGCAAAGAGGGTAGAAGCCGTAGTCCACATATATACCACGTAGCAATGTTTTTAAATATTTAAACGATCAAATCATTATTTGGAAAATTGACAATGTCGCGATAAAAATCAGTAAAAGTTTCCCTCATCAGTCCAATAGGAGACGCTGGAATTAAGCTACAGTGCGAGAGGAATCGGCAAGGCGCCCTCAGTTACTTTCGGATTTGAAGAACACTATACCAGTACAATTACAGATTTCATTTTAACTGCTGGATGCAACTATTCGGGCCCCATGGATGTCCGTGTTGCGTACGCACAGACGTGAAGGCGTTTTGACTGTCCAGGAGCTCACTACATCCGCGGCTTGCGCAATGCACCGCACAGCAGATCGAGTCAATAGGAGAGGTCGGACTAAATTTGGAAACTTTCAAAGCTTATAACTTTGTTTATACAAGTAGAAGTAAAAAGAGGGAAACCCGCAATTCCACCCAATACTATGAGGAAGTGATTTTACACACGAAAGGAGACAATATATCTTAAGGGAGTAAATATTTTAAGATAAGGAAGTGCTTTTAACCTCACATTTCTAGCCAATACTATAAGAAAGTATTTTTATACACGATTGTATTACTATGAAGAAACCTTATGCACGATTGTATTGCTATGAAGAAACCCGTTTCCACACCACCATAGAGGTAGGGTTATCAGCGCGTTTTTTTTAATGTGGTTTCCCCAGTAGGCCTATTCCACTAGATGATATTATTAGTTTACTTTTTTTTTTTTTTTTTTTTGTGGTATCCCCAGAAGGCCTATTCCACTAGATGAGGGCTCTCCTTTTAGATATTTTTTTATTTTTTTTTTATTTGTATTTAATTTTTATTTTATTTTTTATTTTTTCTTATTTTATATTTTATGTTTTTTATTTTTTATTTTTCTTTTCAATTTTTTTTTATTTTCTTTTCAAACAAGAGGATATTCGATAACGTCAATTCCTTCTTCAACATTTACTTTTGATACTTGATGAGAGTTTTCAAGAGTCCAAAGATGTTCTTTTGTGAGAAACTTTTTATTTTTTTTTTATACGAAATATATCACACATAATACATGTTCCACTAAAAATAAAACTTAATAAATACTACATACAAGTACAGCAAACAAGCCAGCGTACAAGTCAGTTGTTATACTACAAGTGATATGCTTTTCTTTTTTCAAAATTTCACTACAGATGTGTGTTGAATTTTCTATCAGACGATTTACACGTAAGTTTACCGCATCGTAGAAAGAATCGTCACATACATTTTTCGAATCTTGAATCATTTTTTTTAGATATTCTTGCACTACCCTTTTGGAGGAATTTGATTTCTCACGCGTATTTATTTTCTTATTTTCTGCGCACAGAGTTTCATCCATTTTCCGTACACGAACACCTTTTTCCCATTTTATAGTATTTTCGGTACACAATTTGATCCTCTTGATAGCTTCATTTTTAACGATTTCATTATCACCAACGTTGAAGGATTCATCCAGCCATCCCTCACAGCTTGCAGATAAAGTAAGACACAGTACGATCATGAAGATTCTTCTGATCATTCCTCTATTTCCTTCTTCTTTATCCACTGGTTGTGAGAATCGTCAGAACCCAACCATTTGACGAGGACTTGGTCGCCTTTCCCTAAAATTTTTGTGACAGATTGGATGACGGTCAGTGAGCGTTATCCGATCAAAATACCGACCCGGTGTACACCTTACACAGACTCAGCGTAGGTCAAGCCTTGGACACTCGTTGTTAGCTATTGCTTCCTGTTCGTTGTTAGCTTCCTGAAAGCAGTTGAAAAAGTGTTGAAAAGGAAAGGCGACCAAGTCCTCGTCAAATGGTTGGGTTTCGACGATTTTCACAACCAGTGGATCAAGAAGAAGGAAATAGAAGAATGATCAGAAGAATGTTAATGATCGTACTGTGTCTTACTTTATCTGCAAGCTGTGAGGGATGGCTGGATGAATACTTCAACGTTAGTGATGATGAAATCGTTAAAAATGAAGCTATCAAGTGGATCAAATTGTGTACTGAAAATACTATAAAATGGGAAAAAGGTGTTCGTGTACGGAAAATGGATGAAACTCTGTGTGCAGAAAACAAGAAAATAAATACGTGTGAAAAATCAAATTCCTACGAAAGGGTAGTGCAAGAATATCTAAAAAAATTGATTCAAGATTCGAAAAATTTATGTGACGATTCTTTCTACGATGCGGTAAACATACATGTAAATCGTCTGATAGAAAATTCAATACACATCTGTAGTGAAATTTTGAAAAAAAGAAAAGCATATCACTTGTACTATAATCATTATATTAAGTTTTATTTTTAGTGGAGCATGTATTATGTGTGATATATTTCGTATAAAAAAAATAAAAAGTTTCTCACAAAAAAACATCTTTGGACTCTTGAAAACTCTCATCAAGTATCAAAAGTAAATGTCGAAGAAGGAGTTGACGTTATCGAATATCCTCTTGTTTGAAAAAAAATGAAAAAAAAATTGAAAAAAAAAAAATTAAAAAAATATATAAAAGGAGAGCTCTCATCTAGTGGAATAGGCCTACTAGGGATACCACTTTAAAAAAACGAGCTGATAACCCTATATCTATGGTGGCGTGGAAACGGGTTTCTTCATAGCAATACAATCGTGTATAAAAATACTTCCATATAGTATTGGCTAGAAATGTGAGGTTAAACGCACTACCTTATCTTAAAATATTTACTTCCTTACGATGTATTGTCTCCTTTCGTGTGTAAAATCACTTCTTCATAGTATTGGGTGGAATTGCGGGGTTCTCTCTTTTTACTCCTACTTATACAAAACTTCGAGATTTTAAAAATTGGTCCATTGGTTTCCTCGTGAAATTTTCTTCCGTAAGCACCCTTTAAAATTTAAAATATGACGCATTAAACAAAAAATTTTGCAGTTTTAGCCAATAATTTTATGTCCAACTTCACCGATTGACTCGATCCACTGTGCGCCGCGGGAAAAATTTTGGGTAAAGGCACCAGCCCTGCCTAAGTAAGTGGCTGGTCCTGCGCAGCCTTGGTAGGACACTCGGTAGGGCCTTTGAAAGGCAGGACTGATACCTACCCATAATGGGAGATGTTGCATGTGTGAGAAATTTGAGATTTGACTGTTGATTCTTTTGTAAAATTTCGCGCGAAACACGATGGTGCCACTGGGTTTCTCTGAAATCAACTCCCAAGCTCAAAAAAGCTCTCAAGTGGAGGCCAAAATGGAGGGGATATCTCACGATATCCTGAGAGTCCACCTCTACATCAAGACAAACTCTCCATGCAAAGATAGGGAGAAAATACATTAGCAGAATTGCCTGTCTTCAGTTTTGGAGTCCTTAAATGAAGTGGCAGCCCTGACAATGTATTTGCTCCCTATCTTTGCATGGAGAGTTAGTTTTGATGTAGAGGTGGACTCTCAGGATAGCGTGGGATATACCCTCCATTACGCCCTCAACTTGAGAACTCTTTTTGAGCTTGGGAGTTGATTTCAGAGAAAACCAGTGGCACCATCGTGTTTCTCGCGAACTTTTACATAAGAATCAATAGTCAAATCGCATATTCTTCACACATGCAAAATCTAGCCCTTAATTCGTTATTTCTGTACACAGTGTGATTAATTTTACTTTCATAGTTAATAATGGACGGGATTTTCATAGAGGACGAGCCTCGCTTTAAGCACCGTGGGCTGTTGCTAGACACATCAAGGCATTTTTTCTCTGTTCCGGAAATCCTGCAAGTGCTTGACGGCATGGCATATAACAAGTATAACGTCTTTCATTGGCACATCGTCGACGATCAGTCCTTCCCTTATCAGAGCGTGGTCTACCCGCAACTCAGGTTGGTAGTTTTTTGTCATCCATTCCCGCGAGGAAATGGTTTCTATGTAGAGAAAAAGACAATATGGACCGCATTAAGCAGAGAGGAGCCAAACCACATGCTACTGCCAAAAATTATCTATAAATTGTGCCGATTTTTGTGCAAATTTCAGTGAACTTTCTGCATGTGCGAAGCAAATTTCTTAAAATCAAAGGATTCCACGCAAATGTCCTCTTGTTTAAAATTGGAATTCCCAATTATTGGCAATGGCTGATGTGGCTTGGTTCCTTTCTGATTAACACGGTCCATAAAACGCTCTATATCAAAAATAAAGCCTCCCCTCACACTTTATCCAGACTTGGGACTGGCACAAATACTAAAATCACTTCAGCTGTCTTTAAAGCATTTTAGGGTGTTCCTGGTGATTTTTACATTAATTGAATAATACCAATTTCCGAATCCGTAACAATTAAATCTCCTCTGGGATCTCCTTAAAAACCTCCATAAGTAAGCAAAACATATTTTTATAAGGCCTTGTCCACACAAGCGACGATTCGCAGAGCTCTAGCTGCGCGCCGTCTTTTGCCCTTTTTTCTGTGCACAGACGTAATAAGTTATAACTTATTTCGCCTAAGTTTCAGGTGCTTTGCGCGTATGGACAAGGCCTAGCATAGGTGCAGTTATGCGAAAATTTAACTTAAAAAACATGGAGAAATCACATTAAACGGGCGTTCACTTTGGTGGGAAATCAGAAGTCTGCATCTGCGTGCTGATTGTTGAAATTGATAGACAAAACTAACGACAAAGAAGACAAAAGGGATATAAAGAGATCCTATTAATGGAAGCAGGTGGCTCCAATAGACAAAGGAGAAAAATAATAGACTAACTAACAGCAACCCACAAGAGATCCCATAGTTAGTCCTTCATTTATCCCCTTAGTCTATGAGGACCATGAATTTCAACCAATGAGATAGCTCCGCAAGCTTTATGTCCTCTTTGTCTATCGTTTTGTACAGCAATTTCAGCAATCATTCCGCTGATCCATAAGAGGTATGCCCAAAATCGTCTGGTTACTGTAGCCATCGTACGGCAACCAATCAGTCAATTGCCATATTCAGTATTTTCAAATCATTTGTTGTTTGTTTGTTTGTTTGTTAGTTTGTTTGTTTTTTGTTAAATATCGTTAGAAATATGATAGCGACAAATTTTGGTGAAGAAAATGACCGTCAAATTCTGGCAAGGACAAATAATTGGCATTTACTTTGGTTTAGTTTCTGATTTTAGTTTTTGTGGTGGTTTAAAGGCGTTGTCTCTTTTTTCCGATTGAAATCTAGAATAAAAACGGAAACACCTTTTAATGCAAATAATATCAAAAAAAGATGGAAAAAAATTAAAAATACTATGCGCAAGTTGCATACGCGGAAACCCACACAACTCCGCAACCTCTGGTGATTTGCGAGATCTGCAAGTTTGCAACTACAAATCGACGATTGTAGGTGTGTTTGCCTATCTAGCTATTTGAAGGCGCAACTGAGGCATCAAGATATCCAACTGTGTTCTTTTGGCTTACAATTGACGGGTTTTTGTGCTTTTGAAGCATATTGTTGGGGATTTAAATTTTTTTAGTATCTATTGACCTTTAGAATGACAGACAACAAATACTGTTTACAAGGTCATCCCTCACTATCTGAATTCCTCTGGGGGAATATGCACAATTTTTTAATGACTAGTGTCGGATCAGTGAGCTTTTTAAGTCATCACCCACCCTTATATGTACACAGTTTTGATGACAAAGCTATGATTACAGGTGTCGGATCAGTGAGCTTTTTAAGGCATCTAGTGGAGTTGCTAATGTACAAAAAAGATGATTTACAATTTTTTAATGACTAGTGTCGGATCAGTGAGCTTTTTAAGTCATCACCCACCCTTATATGTACACAGTTTTGATGACAAAGCTATGATTACAGGTGTCGGATCAGTGAGCTTTTTAAGGCATCTAGTGGAGTTGCTAATGTACAAAAAAGATGATTT